ATATTGCGGGTATCGTTTATAAATTCCCGCCGGGGATCTGTCTAGTTACGTTTTTCATTTTTTACTTATACCGCAATTGAAGCACATGGCAATAACTAAAAAGTGAGCGACCAATACCCTGTGAGTCCAAAATACATATTTCAAGTGTATACGCGTTTACGTGTGCCTCCATTACGTGATTAATTTTTGGGAGTAAATTTTACGCACGATTGGCGTAGGATATAGTTTTATTTAAGAAGTACAAAGTGACGTTTGAGCAGGGTAAATTGTCCACATTTTAATTTTGAGGGTAAATGGTACAAAAAAAATAAAAGAGTTGGAGACAAAATGAATATTTTTACGTATCGTGAAATGAATATGTTTTTCCCGTATTCTCCGGCTCATTCTCCGCGCAAAGAAAAATCATCTTTTTTTCACAAATTTCATTTTTTCTCGAGCATAATACTTTTAATAAAGAGATAAGTATTGAAATAAAATCAAATTCTTGGAAAACAACTGGGCACTCGAACGATGGTCGTATGCGTACACGTGTGTATAAAATGTTGTATCGCGGTTGCAAGCACTTATATGTAAGCGCGCAAGCAAATCTCGTATTATAAACGAATATCAACCCCTTGGGCGTCGAGCAAATCTGCCAAAAACGGGGTCTCACGGATAACTGTACGTCGCATAACTTCGTTTCGCAACAACGAGTCTGTATCAAAAAAAAAAAAAAAAAAAAAAAAAAAAAAAAAAAAAAAAAAAACAACCAACAATCGCTCTCACAGTTAGTAATCGTGACGTAAGCGGGTGAATTACAACCTGTTGTCCGGCCTATCGCCACTGATGGCTTACCCGTATATAATATCCACAGGTACTTCCGCAATGTAACTTTAGCTCTCTTTTCGCTCAATTCTCATACAACAGCGGCCGCAGCAACACACACACGCCTATTATACCGGTTACGGCATACATATATAATTACATTGGCCGATCGTGCGCGAACCCGAAACCACATCAGCCACGATAAGATGCGTATCGTATCGTTCGCGCAAAGGCTATGTATGTGTAATAATACGAACGATGAACGCGGGGCAATAAAAAAAAAAAAAAAAAAAAAAAAAAAAAAAAAAAAAGACACGCCAAGTATACGTTCGCGCCAGCTCAATTTGCCGATTTGATATAGTTGTGCGCGGGGTAGTAGCTATATATATACATCGATCTCCCTGCCGATTAATCTTCCATCACGCGTACAAGTACGGTGTATACTTCACCAGATTTTCCGGCGCTATAGCCTCGGGCCACGCGCTCGCAAGAGATGCCCATACGGAAGGGATATTGCAAAAACCGTATGGGGCGAATAAGAAGAGAAAAAAAAATCGAAATAAAATCGCGAGCTGCAATTTTCCTTCTCTACATATACATATAATATATTTCTCGCGCTAAGGGGGTGATCGACTGGCTCTCGGCGCCTGCGCTCGCCAGCTCTGCATATATACATATACGCGTTATATCGGCATATAGCTTGCAACTGCAATATCATACGTGTATATGTATGCGAGAGAGCTTTCGGATGCAGTGCTGGAGCAGCAGCAGCTGAAACCAGGAGAAGAGAAATGTTATAAGAGGAGGAGAAGAGCGCGAAAAAAGAGTTGGGTGCAGGCTGGTAGGTGAGGGAGAGGGAGGGGTGGGGGGGTGGGGGAGGACAGCTCGTTACGACGCATAAAGGGATGCGTCGAGATGACGGTGGGAGGGTAGGGGGCGCGCCTCTAATGGAAAACGCGCCAAGGAATTACAGTCTCGTGAACTCGGCTCTCGTTTTTTCCCTCCCTACCTCCCTCTCAGCCCCTTGGCTTGGCAAGCGCGAAGCACTCCCCCATTGTACGCGAGCAGCAACTCGAATATTTTCAAATCTACTTGTACCTTTTAATGAGTCACCCACATATGTATATACCTTGGCGTACTGTCTTTCCTCCCCCCCCCCTCCCCTCCCCCAATCCTCTGCCAACCCCCTTTTCTCTCTCACTTTTCTTTTGTTTTCTCTTTATTTTTTTTTTCTTTCTTCGCGCTTGGCTGTAACGGGAACAACGACAACCACGGCGACGATGATGATGATGTGCGAGGCCCGCGTTAATTGACGAGAACGTGAAATATTATACGCGGCTCGCGCCAAATTATCATAATTAGAGAGGCTCCGGATTCTTTTTTCCTCGCCCCGAGTACATATATACATACAGGTACACCCTGTCACACACATACAAACTTAGTATATATATGCGTGATGCAAACAGGGAGAGGACGCGTTTCTTTTGCGAGATGACTTTGACGCGACGTAGCGTGGATTTTACCCAAAAGCCTAGGCATCCGCCGAAAAGCGAGCTTGCATCGGAGATCGGATAAGGTCGCAAAAGCGAGCTTGCACTGTACACGGTGGATGAGGGCTTGGCGTGGTACACACACACAAGGAGCGAGAAGGGAGAGAGATATAGGGGGTGTGATGATGTATGGTGTACGTAGTAGTACAGTAGCAACAGCGCACCAGCCGAGAAAGCTAAGAGCGACTAATTAACGTTTCGCCCTTCTCCCTTGTACTTACCCGTTTCCTCGGCGCGTGTGTGCATCATATACCTACGACCCGATGGTGCATTGAGATTATTAATGTACATAGATATGTATATATAAATACAACGCAGCGCATCTTAAATTATAAATACATGTCCTTTTATAAATATATGGGTGGTGTTATGTATTACATATGATATAAAGTATATATATATATATATATATACATGTAATATTATTCGTGTTAAATAAATGTATCACAGGTACATGCATTTAGTGGTTCGGCGACCACCACCATCACCATCCGCCCATGTATAATATATACGTATATATACACTCGCCGATGGGGCAACAAGTTAGCTTTAGCGAGCCGGTGCCGTGGCGATGGTCTTACCGGGAGAATTAACGCTCACTCAACTTCTAACTCGACTATGGGTGAGTAAGACACAGAGAGAAATCAAATTACTCTCGACGTGACCCGTACACATCCACGCACACGTTCCGCACACACGAGGATGTAGACCTGCACCCATATGGATTTTTGTACGTGTATATAGCATCATCACCGTTACTGCGTCAAATTGCGTTTGCCGTCGTCGTCGTTGGTGATGGTGGGTCTCTCCTCTCGATTGCCATATCACGCGCAAGAGGATGGGGGGAATCTATGTGGTCTCGCCACCCCTCGGGAATTACGTGGTTCGCGCAACTTTTTATCACTACCGTGTGTGTGTGTGTGTGCACAGCTATATTACCCGTATACATTTGCTCTCTGCTACACGCGGCAACAATATATCGCGAATCCGTGGTATGGATTACACACGTCTATATGTATACCGATATATATATATGTATATATATATATATGTTGTTGGGAGAGTCGGTGGTGGTGCTGCTGCTGCTGCTGCTGCTGCGGCACCCACCCCTTTTATACCCATCAGAGAGCCCCGGCAAGTTTATAATTAGAGCTCCGGGGCCTCCTCGTCAGGATATTGCCTCGTCAAAGGCTACTCGTCCGAAAAGGGGGATTTAGAGAGGCTTCTCTCCCTCTCTCTCATCCGCCTGTGATCTGCGCTGTACCTATATACACATATACACCTATACACCCAACACCCTCAACCTATATATATATCCTTTCCGATGCGATCCGATCCATTGCTCGTCGTCCGAAACGTTCATTATTAAACCTGTCGATCTTTCCTCCCTTCCTCCTATACACTCCTTTTTTTCTCTCTCTCTCTCTTTCTCTTCCTCTCTGCATGCATGTGCTCAAGATCTATTATTGCCGCGGATGCTGCACTACTCGTACCTTACACATGAGAGTTTTTTTCATTCACAACCTCCCCCCCCCATGCATATATTACACTGTACGTATTTAAGTATCTCAAACTTTTGCCATCCACATGAGTTGCATTATGCACGTATTAAATTTTACCTTTTTTTTCCGTATCGTATCCATAGAGGTATAAGTACTCACGAGCTACAAGTCCATTCACTGACGCGTCTCGATCGAGTCATTGAGAATTTGACCTTCCGCGGCTGACGTGGATCCAATTATTGCCGGATCGGCTTCACTTTGCCGTTTGCCCATCTCTTTCTCGCCTTGAGATGATGGGACGTAATGGACAGGGTAACCTTTCACGTGATGTACACATATACTGTTCGCCTATATATGTGAAATTCGATCCTCGACCAAGAATCGGCATCTTTCACTTCAAGGTGATATGGCGATGCTCCCCAGTAATTATATATACTTACTAGTACACCCCTTTGCGACTAATTACCTCGTGTGGGACTCGTGAGTGCGTTTGCTCGTTCATTTTTTTTATTTTTTTATGCGCTATGAAATCTTGATTACTACTCCTTTTTTTCAGATATTCTCGTTGCAGTATTCGATGGTTTTATTTTTTTTGTGACGGTTTAATTGTGATGTATATGTAACAAAGTTTACGTTCCCATACCAGTGCCTGCAATGAAAAATAAAAAAATACGAAACAAAAACAAATTTTGGCGGATACAATTTTTCCAGGAAAAGAAATTTCTTTTTTTGTTTCGCCAACCCGAGCCGTCGTTTTGGCCAACGAATACAGTATAGAGTCTAGTTTTCCCGGTCGAGCGAGCGAAAGTAGCTATACAGACATGGCAAAAAAAAGCCCGAGACTCTCCTTTTACCTTTTGCGCGGAGCAGCTTTTGCGGCAACTTTTATTTTTTTTTTTTTCCCTCTCCCACTCACCCTGTACTCAACTTTTTTTTCTTTCTTTTCCCCACGCTCGGCTAATTTTCGTAGGCGCACCGTACAAGTACTTTGATTTCGCTAATTATCGCTTTTTCTCACAACTCCGGGGGTTACTACACCTCTCCCACGCAAACGCTCCTTGGGGGATGTGGAAGAAACGAAAAAAAAAAAAAAATTAACGCAGTAGACTCATGGTCGTGCAGTGTGTGTGTGTATATGACAAAATATATGAAGAACTTTTTATTGACCACCACAGAAACGAAGGTACAAAACAAAGCAAGACAAGAAAAACGCGTGTAACAATGGTATTACAGACAGGAGAGGTATAACTATATATTATTATTATTATAGTGAGTATACAATAAGCGTGTGATTATACGGTGATTGCAAAACGATGTACATACATATGCGTATAACACGAGGTATTATTGAAAACAAAACGTAACAAAGACAAGAGAGGGGGGGAGAGAGAAGACGGATTAGAGATTGGCCAGTTTGCCGGACAGATTGATCGGCAAGCCTTGTTGGCGCAGGCCCGCGGTGAGTCTCTTCTGGAGATCGACGTCGACGTTGCCAAAGTTCTTGAGAGCTCGTTCGACGATGAACAGCGAGGCGTTCTTCAGGTGGCCGACTATGTTGTCGACCAGGCGCTGCTTCTCGTCCTCCTTGAGGGTCTCGCGCCAGAAGGTCCTGGGCTGGCCAAAGTCGTCCTCGTTGACGGGCTGGTGGCGCTCGACGTCCCCGCTCACAAAGTAACTCGGGGCCTTCACGGCCGGACAGTCCTCGGGGCCGCAAAAGCTGTTGGGGTAGTAGTTGGGCGCGCCCTTCTGGTTGTTGTGCGCCATGAAGCCGTCGCGCTGGTAGTTCGTGGCCGACATGATCTTTGGGGCACAAGTGACAAGCAGAGATTAGAAAACGCCGTTTCAAAGGCGTTACTGTATACTAAAGCAGTTCAGTGACTGCAGAGGAAGAAGAAGAAGAAAAAAAAGGGGGAGGGCGGGGCGAGAGAGAGAAATATGGGTCAACCAACTTTTCTGCTCAAGTAAAGATGAAAGACTAAGGGGGGAGGAGAGGATGAGCTCGCGAGTAAACGTCCCAAAGTGTCGACCCGCCAGTTTCCCTCAAACTTTGCTACTGCTGCTGCACTAAAATAATTAAGCCAACTTGTTAAATGTACGACGGGGACGTTACTTTTCGTCTCATTGCTACTCCGAGTATCTTTATTATTTTTTCCATTTCTTTAAGTGAGAGTTGCAATTTAGATGGAAATTGCAGTGAAAAAAAAATTGAGATGAAAATGTTCCCGGACAATAGATTTGGGTCGTACTTAAATTTTCACGTACAATTAAACGACTCGGCTTCACTGCAATTGAATTTCATTTCACGTGCCGGCCTCTACACTCTGAATTATGCAAATGGCTTCAAGTAAGCCCCAAATAGCCGGATCCGGAAGTATTTATACGTATACGCGTGGGTCAGGGGGGTGGGAGGGTGCAATCATCCCCTTTTGAATAATAGAGACGTTGGGGGTAAAAGGGCGCAGTCAACGCCATCGGGAGTACACGTACCTTGTAGGGACAGTTGACGGGTAGCTGGAGGTGGTTGACACCCAGGCGATACCTGTGGGTGTCCCCGTAAGCGAAGAGCCGGCCCTGCAGCATCTTGTCGGGGCTGGGCTCGATGCCGGGTACCATGTGAGCCGGATCAAAGGCCGCTTGCTCGACGTCGGTAAAGTAGTTATCCGGGTTCTTGTTCAGCACCAACTTGCCGACCGGCATCAGAGGGTAATCCTTGTGCGGCCAGACCTAATTTCACGACACGAGATAAGGCGAGATAAGGTGTATATTTACAGAGTTATATATACATCGAAATAACGAAGGGAGATGGTATGTTGTTGAAAAGTCACCTTTGTCACGTCGAAGGGATTCCACTGGAACTTCTCGGCCTGTTGGGGCGTCATTATCTGCACGGAAAATGTGTAAGAGGGGTACTTGCCCTCGGCGATGGCATCGTACAGATCGCGAATTCCGTAGTCGGGATCGGATGCGCTCAGCTCGGCTGCCTTATCGACTGGAATGTTCTTAATCCCTTGGTTCGTCTAACGAAAAAAAAAAAAATAATAAATAAAATGAACAAATAAAAATAATGTGGCGACGATATGAATATAAGTATTGTACCTTGTAGTGGAATTTGCAGTAAACCATCTCATTTTTGTCGTTGACGAGCTTGAAGGTGTGAGAGCCGAAGCCGTGCATGTGACGGTAACCGTCCGGTATGCCGCGGTCGCTGAACAAAAACATCACTTGATGAGTCGACTCCGGCCTCAACGACAAGAAATCCCAAAACATGTCAGCATCCTGCATGCATAAATAGTTTTTTTTTGTTTTAGCTCTCAAAACGCTTTAGCTACGCGATCGATGCGCTTAGTCACCTTCAAGTGCGTTACGGGGTTCCTCTTCTGCGTGTGGATGAAGCTCGGGAACATCAGCGGATCCTTGATGAAGAAAATCGGCGTGTTATTCCCAACGAGATCCCAAATGCCTTCGTCCGTGTAAAACTTGACTGCGAACCCTCGCGGGTCTCTGGAAAAAAAAGACCAATCGAAACAAATTCTTAACGGCGCGTAGCCATAGTCATTTCTGTTTTTGGAACACCAACGCTTGCGCTCCTTTGCGCGAATTGTCGCAACGATTCTTACAAATGCAACTTTATTGTACTATGACGCACCTCACGGTATCCGCGGAGCCACTCTCTCCCCCAACGGTAGAGAAGCGCACGGCAATCGGGGTCTGCTTGCCGAGTTTCGAGAAAACCTTAGCCTTGGTGTACTTGGTTATATCGTGGGTTACTTCGAAGTAACCGAAAGCACCTGTGAAACGATTTCTCTGGTTGCATATATGTACCTACTCGTATATTATTTTCAACGTTTTGATAAAATCGTACCGGCTCCTTTGGCGTGCACCACCCTTTCGGGGATTCTTTCTCGGTTAAAGTGAGACATTTCGTCGAGATAGACATAGTCTTGGATGAGTATAGGTCCTCGTGGTCCAACGGTGACAGAATTCGTTTTATCACCGACGGGAGCTCCATTTCCAGCCAAAAGGGTCGGAGGGTCTCCCTGTAATGACAGTTCATTTTCAACTCGCCTCAATTTTTTTTTAAACTTCTTTTTTGCGTAATTTTTTTTTTTTAGTATGCTAACAATAACCGATATAAAATGGCACATTGGGATGTAATCCGGTTTCGTAACGTCCGCTGTTATTATAGATCAGCGCTAATTATCTAGATAATCGGTCTAGCGAAATATGCACAAAAATTGTTTTTAATCAATGTATGGACAGTAAAAAAAAACCCAGCTTTGCCACCGTTCAATTCCCACTGCCATTTATATTACATAACGTCGAAAAAGAAAAAAACCAATGTTTTTAGCTGGTGGAAATGTTTTATTGCACAAATACCCGCATTATGGGCGTATGGGTCGTGACAACGTGCACTGTTTTCTGTGACTGTTGTTGTTTACTTTGCTTTCGTTAGGAAAATAACTTTCCTCTTCTACGGGGGCAAGCTCGACTTTGCCCGCATGTGCAACATACACTTATTGTTGATAAAATACTTAAAAAAAAAAAAAAAAAAAAAAAGACAATACAAATAACACAAAGACTCGCGTTAATAAAAGGAAAAATTCACATCGCCCTCGTTCCCCTCCAAAAGTGATGAAATATATTATCCAACAGTTGACATTAAATCATCGTCAAATGATACCCTTAACATAATATTTATTGTTTTGTGCGCAACAAGCTTATCACACTTTGATATTATGCTACAACGTGTGGCTTATCTCCCACATCTACGGCACATGTAATGCGTAATAATTGCACGAAACAATCGACTGGTAATAATTATATCTATTTTAAACCAATTTAAATAAATACTCGTTCGTCGTACGATTACGCATAATTGTTCATATTAAATAAAAAATTTGTAAAAATTTTTTTCATCTAAATAGGAAAAAAATGATTTAAGCTATTTACGTAACATTTGCGCCAACAGCTGCGAGTTAGAGCAGCTGCCGTGAATTCAATTTGAATCGAAATTATCGTCGTATAATTTAATTATTTCGCATCGGAATGTTAATCATTCTGGTTTATATTTACGCGTGTTAGTAATAAAAAAAAAAAAGACGAAACGAGGGTTATCCTTCCACTTATACGAATGAAACATTCATTACGTCAAATTAAATAAAACCTTTTTTTTTGTTCTCATATCTCCAGGCGCACAAATGCAAATATCATCTGTACATATACACGCCAAATAAGTACATAAAATTTCAGGGTAACAAAAGAGTGGATACTACAAAGCGGTGTGTATTTATATCTCTTCGAAAATATGTTACCAAAAAAAGTTCCAGTAATTTTAACGAAGTAAATTTTTATGAGTGAAATCGGTTCGACGCTCGTGTCAGTGGACTCTCGTATCTGATTCAATCGCAGCGACTGTGAATGGTCATTTTTGCTGCATCTTATCGTTAACGCTCGACATTGAAAATTCATCATTCCAAGAGTAAATCGAGCAATCAGTTTTTAACTTCAATGAAAACCCTTTGTTTCGACTTGCAGATTTTTTGTTTCATTTCTCATTTTCTTAGCTAGGCTTCTAGGAGGTAAAACCATAGGTGGATTTTTAGATGTAGCGGTCATAGGGACCAATGTTGGCTTTAAAAAAAATTAATCCCTCTCTAGTATGTGAAATAGGTTACTCGATAAAAAAAAACACCGACAGTGCATCACGGCTTATCAGCGTCCCAAATCTGCACCCATGTACGATTCAAAAGGTCATGTCCAACCAATTTAGACATACAAGTGTACGGAACAATGGAAATCGTTGTGACCTGTCGAGAGCTACTAAAAAATTCAATTAAAGTACCTGCAAATAATCCGACTTTAAAAAGTGCGGTCAACAGATAAAATTGCCATTGCAGTCATATGTGAAGAAGGGAAAAAAATATTTCGTACAGTCGTATAATTATATATTATTATTATTATTATTATTATATGTGCGTGTGGTTGTTTTTATCAATTTGTGAGATAACAAAGACAAATGGTCGTTTATTAGCTCGTTATTCATTAAATAAAATTAATACCTATACTAAAAATGCTTACACGTAAGTATACGACGTTACAGCGATAGCTGTCCCAAGAGTGTCAAAAGTATAGGTATACCCCATACACACTTTATACATGTACATAAATATATACGTATAGTAAACAAAGTGGTATCAAACTCGTTCTTGATTTCATACCTTTTTTTTTTTTTTTCTTACATATTGACGTTGCTAATAATAGCGCATGTAAGTATAGGTATAATCGAGAGTATGTAAACAAGCATTTTATTCATCTGTTACATGTTAATAAAATTACAATAAATTGCAATAAAATTATCTTTCGCCTGGCGATGGAATGCACAAATGAAAGAAAGAAAAATTTATAGCTATAAAACTAATAAGATCACGGTTTTTGCAAATCATCTGCAAATAGGTAACTTATAATGCTACGAAAGAACTTGTACTTACTTACGAGTGTAGATCGGAGTCATATCACTAACCTGCACTGATTTTTTGTACTCGCAGAGCTGGTCCGAGGCAGGATCCCGTTGGTTGGCGGCGCTGGCCATTTCGCAGGTCGGCCCTGTAGAGGCTGGCGGTGTCGTCGAGAATGCGTGAAAAACCAAGCCGGCACTCAACAAGTTGTGCTGACGGAAAAGTGACGTCGACTGCGTCGATTGCCACAAACACCGCGAGCCCGGCCACAATCTTTTATCGCCTTTGCCTGTGCAGCGCGAAACTTGGCCGATGATGCAGTAGTGGGGAATCGAGTGGCTGCTATAGGGAGCAGCTGTTTGCTTTTTTCTTTGGAGTAGGTAATGCTGCTCATGTATCTTTGGGAACTCCCGGCTTTTCGCAACGAGCGAGCTGTCTTTGCCTATCAAGCGATGCAGTGTTTTTTCTTTCACGAACCTTTTCATCGTTTACCTTGGATGGTCGTCGGTCTGATGATTATTTGTTTGAACTTGACGAAATTGATCGGGTGGTAGCCTTTTTTACCTTGTATTGTTGATTTTTTTTTTTTTTTTTTTGTTTTTCTTTGCGACGTACTGATGGAAAAACAAAAGAACATTAACTCTTTACATTTGTCGAAATAACCCATTTTATGGGTGACCTTACAGGTGCTTTTTTTCTTTTGAAATATTTATCGCAATGTTTGTTGTGATGGTGGTTTGATACGAAAACACACAGTATAACTTAGTACACTTTTTTTTATTTTTATGCTCAATTTTCGTTTAAACCAGATGTGGATACACAAAAGTCGTCATAAAAACTTTGATTCAAGTCCGTTCTGTTACATTATTTTTTAGTACTAATATTAGTAATAGTAGCAGTAGCCAAACTTTAATATTCGTCGTACAAACGATTTATTTATTATAATTATTTCAATTTTTTTTTTTTTTTTTTTACATTAATATTTCACGTTTGATCTGCATCTTTGGTAAAATATTTTGAATAGATTACTTACTGAGGAGAACAGGATATCATCTGGCTATTATTCATTTTATATGAAAAAGATCGCATAACGTAACAAATATCTTTTTCTAGTCTCAACATTGCATATTTACAAAACTCAGATGAAATAATTCTACAAAGGTTTCATTTTTAGATTCCAAATATTTATAAAGATGGATAAATATCTATGTTTGTTGTATAAATATTTTTAAAAAATTGTTCAATTTACCATGGCCTAGTCTAGTACAAACATAGTGATTCGATACACTTATTTTTTTTATGCATTGATAAATAAATAAATACAAAAAAATTGGTAACGTTTGCATGATTTTTTCGTTATTAAATTTAACGACCACAATGACTTTCGTGCAACGTAATACGCAGCTACAAAGTGGAACGTCAGATGTGCAAAACGTCAATCAATGTTAAATATAACATCTCTTGAAAGTCGTCGTTTCTAAAATTTGCATCCCTCCAAAATTAGTCTAGCGCATGAATGTGAAAACGTTTGATAATGTATGAATGTACTCAATCGTTACAGAGGCATAAAAAACTGTCAATCATAACAATAATTACAAATGTATTAATGTGCACGTTAATTATACATTGTCTACAATCTCCGAGTTAATTATTAAATTGACAACAACTAGGTTATCGATTCGAGTATCCTAATTAGTATGAAAAATCTTCCAAAAGCACAAGCTTTTTTTCTTTAATTTGGCATTTGAGTTAGACAATAAAGGTGGCGTAATTATTTCCAATCGAGCTTGAATACCTTTATACGCCAAAACAAATTTTTGCTGCTTATTCAAAGCTAGGCCAGGCATACCTCACTTAAAAATTCACTGTTCACCAACTAGACTAGGCATTTACCGCTGGTATGGAGCATTGCACTTGCCATACTATCAAATGACTCTGTTCACCTTGTTCCTCTGAATTGGAAGCCACTGACGCTGATGTACGGTCGATTCCGTCTTCCGTCTCTTCACCGTCACCTGTAAATATAAATTCACTAAGATAGAGAATACGATTGGATTACTTATTTTACATTTTCTAATATTTTTTTAACACAGGTTTTGGTTTTGTCAATTAGTAACGCCATTAATTCTAAATACGGAACATTGGTGTTCAACATTTTTCCATACTAGTTTTGGATGCAATACTCATGATTTCTAAATACAACAGCTTATTCCTCATAATCCGACCCCCAGAGAGCAAAGAAAATGAAAATGCAATTAGACTTTGTTTCGTTTTTAAATGGAAAACAGAAATAAGACTTTTGAGTAAAATTTGTAAAAAATTGTGTAAAACATAATTATAATTGTTGTTAGTTGGTGATGGGGTGCAATGTTATTTACTTTTGTTAGAGAAAGTGTGTGCATTCAAATATTGTTAGAAAGCAAACAGCTGCAACATTCAATACACCCGTTTACCAGTAAAATAGTGTATGAGCTTTTGAAAATTAGTAAAGCCATGATACCGAAACGCGGGATCAATTTGTTAGAGTTGGATTTATTTTTATGTAATCTCATAATTATGATCCATGGTTAATCATCCAGTGTCTGTGCGATGATCAACTGCAGGCTTATATGCATCCCGATACTCTCTGGGGGCATACCTGACTAATTGCCAAACTATTAGATGTGTTGCCACGTCACTCTCATCCTCAGCTTCATCTGCTGAAATTACAAGTATGTCGAGAAAAACTTTGAAATTTCAATTTTTTGTTATTGTTTTCTTAATGTCAAATTTGGCATACTAAGCACCAACAAGAATCTCAAAACACCTTAACTGGTATTAAAGTCCGAAAATATATATATATATATTTATTTGTTCCTTACCAACTCTAAAGTCAATGTAACCTTCACCTCCAGATAATACAAGCATAGCCGGTTGCGTATTATCCGAAGCCGCGCTCTGGCCACCATGACCTACAAAAGTATCTTTAATCATTATCATATTATTTTGTCGTTTGATGTTTGAAGGGTATAAAAATGTTCACCTGGTACAGCCACAAACATTTTCACAGCGTCCCTGTGGCCATGAAAACTGAGTTGAGCATGCGCCATACTGCAATATGGAACGTAATTTCCTGGTGGAACCACATTTTGTTCGGAAGCATAAACTCTGACTCCTAATCCGGGAGCGTCGCCCTTTCCGCTACCCGTTTGGATACGCGACACAGCCATCGAACCACCCGCACCTGAAGTTTAATCATTTGATTAACAGTCACGATAAAAAAAATTAATCTACAAGTGTATAGGATGACACTCACTTTCGGATAAAGGAACAGAAATAATCACGCCGTTTCCAGTGCCTATCCACATCTGTGACAAAATGCATAAAAGTGTGATTAATAAAAAATACCGTTTTACAAGTAAAATTCTTGTACTTTTGTAGCACGTACTTTGTAAGGGAAAAAAAAAATCGTACCCGATTTGAAGAAATGAGCAGCGCTGTAATTCGTACGAACGAGAAGCCCAATTTTCCTGTGCCCAGCATTTTACTAACGTAAGGCTCGATGTCGACGTCTTGCAAATGCTGCAACGTGTGGGCATGATACAGTCTTAGCGTAGAATCCAATCTGATGCTAACCCATACACCATCGCCAAGCCAGGCTAGTTGTCTCACTTGAGATTCTCGGCGTGGATGTGCATCAACGGTGCACTGCAATAAAACATTTGCTAATACACTCTCTCACGCTTGTATCTTCAGGTGATTACAATCAAATTCACATTTTGAATAGACGAGAAAACGTTGGGAAATTTTTCTTCCAAATAAGTACCTCGAGCTTCATTGAAATGGGGTCGATAACGTGTATCTTGTTTCGGTATCCACACCACACGGTTTTGCCCAAAACAACGCTCATGCACCTTATCGAGTGTTGCGGGCTCCCCAGCGTTATTATGTGGTATTGAGAAAGATCCCACTCGCCATCCATTCCTCTTCTGAAAATCGCCACGGTACCGTCAGCTAAGGCAACCAGCACACGACCTTGTATGTGGCTGAAACGAAAATAAAAAATATGATAAGAAAAGGAAAAAGCCATTTATTGATTGTAAACAGGTGGTTTGTTCCGAAATACGATGCTTACACGACCGATAGAGCAGCGTCTTGCAGTTTTACAGTGTGCAAGCACACAGACCACTTGGCCACGGCAGAATGAACAAAAACGGATCCGTCTTGAGCTCCTAGCCACATGGTCGGTTGCACAGAAGACATTTTTTCGATGAGCGTTTCACTTTCTTTTTCATTTGACTCGTCGTCGTTGTCGTCATCATTATTATTATCATCATCATCATCATCATCATCATCATCATTGTCGTTATCGTCATCGCCATTGTTACTATTTTTTGTGCTTATCACTTGAGGAGAATCGGATTCCGGGGCAATCTTAACAAATCGAACTTTGCCCAAATTAATCGCCTCCGTGTCCACGTCTATACTCGGCGGTTCGACAGCTACGGCAGTGGTATTTGAATCAGCAGCCATTTCACGAGGCTGATCACCCGGCGAGTTATCGCCTGACTGGCTTTCCTTAGCGATTTTCACGTCAGCGTCCACGGGTTCGACATCGTGCGAGATAGCTACCTCGGCCTGAGTATCAATGGCCTCCCTGTTGATCTGCTCGTCCTCCCTGAGGTCTTGAACAGTCTGAACGTAATCGCTTTCCTTAGCACCAGGTACGCTAGCGATGCACAGCAAATGACTTTGACATACGTTGAAGACTTCAAGTACGTCGGCCGGATTGTTGGCGTCTATCACAGTTACTTTTGACATCTTTGGCGTCGATGTGCATATCCACACGAGTGAGCTCAGTTGCTGTTCCATTTTTTCGGCCTCGAGTCTCCGCTGCTCGCTGTCCTGCAACTCTTTGTCCAGGTGTTCGATTGCGTCTTCGGGCTTGCCATCGCTCCCCGTTTCCCGTGCCTCTGCTGCATAGAAGACACTTCCGCCGATCATCGAACCTCCGTCTCGAGTCTTGCCACCGCTCAAGTTCACTCCAGCCCCACACCATATCTGCGAAATGGATAATATTTTCAATACCATTATTCGAAAAGTATTTTAATTTTTAATACATTACACCGTACCTTCATTCCGGGCTCCGCTTGGGAGGCTTCCAGAGGTCGGCAATAGACGGGAACGGGGACTGGTTGTTTCGATGGGGCGGAAGGTTTTCCGGGTAACGACCAACCGTAGGCTTGCATTCGACCGTCTTCTTTACGGACGTGGGCTCTGACTTGACGATACTGTTCTCTTCTTTCGTTTGCCCGTCTCGCCACTAATTTTTCGGACGACCTGAAATTTCATCATTACGCTCTACATTGTACATTGAAATTTACAGTTGTCTTTGAGAAATGAAAATTTTAAGTAAGCAAAATAAATAATGTGATTTACATAGTACTGTAAATAACAATAATTTGCATACACTAATGGTTGGCTCACAATATCACAAAGCAAACGTTTTAGCGTGATGTTAATCAGAGAATAGTTTTTTTGTTAATGAGCGCTTAGCGCGAGAAATGAAAAAAGTAAAGAAATCGCATTACCTGTTATTTAAAGAATCTAAGGCGAAAAGCTTGGTTTTCTTGTGTGCATCGTAGGATAATAAGTAATACATGGACCCAGACAAAAGTGCCAAAGCAGTTTACATCGACAATTGAGTAAAGTTAAGTACAAGTAGTTTTAACTTATCACCACTATTACATTCAGTCTACATACTGAATTCTCAAAATAAAGGTTGATCTTTGTTCATACAGATGCGTAAAAATACATAGAGTTTGTAAAAAAAATTCAAGATACATTTCTATGTAGTTGAATTGATAAACGTTAATCGAAAAACATTGACTAATAGCAATATTTATATAACAAAAAATAAAATGATGTGCACATATGTTTTGAAATACATAGAAAACTACAATTTTACATAAGCTACATTAAAAACATGCAAAACTGTTCAAAAAGACAGAGAAAGCTGAATGGTTGGAAAACAAAACGAAATTGGCTACCAAAAAAAAAAAAGAAACAATAACTTTTCCTACCATAGGTAAAAAGAGTAGTAATAAACTACAGTTTAGATGAATAAAAAAAGCATAGAACAGCGCATGGTGAAACTAATTTTTTTTCGTTTCTCACATAGTGTCTCCTTGGTCGAGAAAATCGTGTCGGTTTTTAAGCGCCCGTCTGCGCAACACGTCCAATGGTGCAGCCGGAACTACTTGATTAGTCGGTGCGCTATAACGGATGTGTGCTCCGCGAACTAAGGGCCCTCGGTCTGCTGGGCCCGTGAAAAGGTTGCTAAAACTAATATGAAAACATGACTTATAATTTGAATTTATTTTTGCCACGACAAATGATGAATGAAATGTAAAATGGAAAATTGGATTACAATTTCCAAAATGTTTGCTTTCCACCCGATATGCTCGCAGGGTCCGTTTTGCTAGCTCGTATCATTTCTGTCCACCGTACAGCTTCTTGCAGCTCCATGAATCTTTCCTTGTACTGATTTCTCTCCATAAGTACCCTGGCCATCTCAGCTCTGGTGAATCTCTTCCTTTGAGCTAAAGGTACTTCCTCTTCGTCGTCGCTCTTGGTCGCCTTTGCTGCTGCCTCTGCGTCTTCTTTCACTTTCTTTAGCTCTTCTTCTAGTATCGAAACTCGTTGTCGGAGGCGCTCTCTTGCTTGCTGCAGAGTACGAATTTCTTCCCGCAGTACCTCTTGTTCTCTAAATATTTTAATCAGAATATACACACGTAAATCGAATCAATTTTTTTTTTTTTTTTTTTTCCACAAAACTTACCCCGTTAACTCGTCTACTTTAACTATTAAATCGTCTTTGACAATATTCAAAGCGTTCCTAAAAATTATATAAATATTAGTTTTTTCAAATTATCAATTTATGTGAAACAATCATACTCACTTGGTAGCTAAGAGTTCGTTGTTCTCCATAATCAAGTTTTCAACTTCCTTGCCCATTCCTATCAAAGATCGATTCATATTATTTTCGCGAATCAATCGAAACATGGATAATTTACATTTCAAATTTTAAGTGGTTGATACAATTGTTATGATATTCACAAATAAAACAAAAACCACACACACGCACATTTACACGTATAGTAACTATAAAGTTACGGATGCAATCCAATTATTCCTTATCAATGGTTTTATAAGAGTTTCAATTGAAGTTATAGGACCTCTTACCAAAAAAGTTGTCATTAACTGCACACGTGTGGATTATTCGTCACATGCATCATTAAGCGGAGATTTCGGAGAAACGGAAGAACAGCATTAATAGAAACAATAAATTATTTAAACAAATTATTGAATGGCTAATGGAAATTTCGTTAACGTTAACATGCAACAATTGTTATTTATTAGTAAAGCAAGTTTTGTTAAACGTACCGGATGAAGCGTACTCTCCCGGATGAACCCAACTCCCTACAAATCGACGTGAAATGTTTTAGTAAAAAATACACTGTCGAAATTCGATTAATGAATACTGACCCGTTATATCAGCTCCTTCGTCCATCTCACCGAGAGCATCGGCATCCTGAAAACTAATCTCTTGATACAATGTATTGGCACTCCGTCGCTCCTCTCTATCCGTTCGACTTCTTCCACCAGGAGTCGTAGCCAGCTTTTCGACTTTCGGAGATATTGGAGACGTGACTGTGGGTGCTGTTTCCGTAACTGGACTGACGTCTACACAAACGTTGAATGAGTATGATGATGAAAGTAATTTTTTCAAAAAAATCATTTGAAAGTGAGTATCTTACGCCTAGAGATGTCAGTTGTTTTGTTCGCTTTTACTGGCTGATCTGTCAACTGGCTTTTGTCGGACATCTCAATGGTCGCTTCGCTACTGTTGTCTAACATTTCCGTTTTTAAACTTTCAGGCTCAGCGGCACTGGGCGGACTTTCTTCTGGAATCTCGTCAGCAGTCATGCTGGCCTCTAAACTTTGGAAACCATAACTGAGGGGGCCAGAGCTACGGGACATGTGTGACAACCCAAGAGATGGAAGTCGACCTGGACCGCGATTATTATTCGACGAATTTTCCAATCTTTCCGTACTACCGACCAGCATTTTCGTTCTTTCCATGTAATCGACGTGAGTCTTAAACAATTCTGTGTACCGATCGTGCAACCGAGAGTATTCTCGCTTCAGTTCCGATTCTTTTTCCTCGAGACGAACCACTGTAATGAAACGTTATTTTTAATGCTGAATCAATTTTTATTTGCCTGATGATGTGTTGCAATGGATTTAAGGAATTTGAACAAAAAATGAATAATGAGGAATGAAGCTCATGACTTTTTTCTCGACTTTACAAAATATATGTGAATTATGTTGTTAAAAAAATTTTTAAATGTAATGACGGAAAAGCAAAACAAATTTCAACCATTATGAAGCATTTTTCTTATTGTTTTTTTATGATAGAAGCGCGAAAAAAAAAAAAATTGAAAATCATACAAAACAAACTCAAAATAATCTACTCTACTGTGAGGGATTTTTCTTTGACTGGAAGTGTCATTGACATTTGTACCGTGGTCGTGAGAATTTTTAGTTTTGAGTTCCAGCATCCTAACAATTGACTCCAAGCTATCAATTTTCGAGACTAATTCTTTTCGTTCATCTTCCGCTGCATCCTCTAACTCTAATAGTTTCTGTAAATAAATACATTTGCCATCATTCAAAATTAAATAGAACAATAACATTCAGCACTTTAAAAGATTCTTACTTGATCCGATGTTTTCCTCAACTGTTTCTCTCTTTCATACTGAGTAACAAGCTGTTCATTGTCCTCTCTTAGGAGCTCCAATTCGACTTCATGCTCTTGATTTTGTGTGTAGGCGATATCTAGACACTCAAGAACATTGACTAGTAAGGGCATAAGCTCTTTAACAACATCCTCGTCATATCTGGCAATCATCCGCTCAAACTCTTGATAAATACTTCCAGCCAGTGACTGCACCTTTTCCGACATGACGACATGACTGTCCTCATGCGTTCCGTATACAGTTTCTTGGTCCATTTTTATTTCAGTCATTGTTACTGCACTTCTAGAATTACATTTAAAAACTTCATGAGCTGACTGCCAAGTACATACTCTAAATTCAAATCATTCTAGCCAAGACAAAAGTCAATATGTTTCTAACAAGCTAATGACTTTTAATTTTGTATAAATTAAATGTATTAAATTCAAAGAGAAAATCTAATAGAGCAAAGAACACATATTCTTAAAGCAGATGTTTCACCTCTCAAACACTGCAGCTGATTAAATGTTTAAGCAAGCCCACCCGACCTTGATTACTCCAATGGATCCCAGCTGAGGACAGTCAACAGGGGAAAAGAGAGAGACACAGAAATAGAGAGAGAGGGAGTAGACCCTCAAGACAGGCAGGATCACCTGTGCACCTAGACACTTTGAATAATTATCGAGAAGGTGTCGATTGAATATTGGCCTAGCAGCAGCAACAAGAACAGTGGTGTCACAATCATTTCCTTCCCCATCATCATTTTTCAAAGAACAACAGCAGCCAGCCTCATACACACGAGCTGGCTTTTTTTTTCTTTCTTCGTTTTTTGACGTTTCTACTTTTCGCTCGACCAGGCTATTATCTCGCCATCATCACAACTGTACTGCACTAACACCTAAATACCTATATACGTAGGTACCTATGTATTACACTTTTATATTTTGACACTTGACACACACGATTGCTGATGTACATTTACTTTGAGATAGTTGAGTGCTTTGACAACGGACTGGCTGCTGCAGACAAATCTCTTTTTTCTCTCTCTTATCTCGCCCTTTAATCAAAATTTGATGCAGGATAAGTATGGGAAAAACGGGAGTCGTCAGCAGTGTTTTTTTTGTTCACACTAAACTTTTGTACTTGCTGGCCTGTCTTGATAAGTGTGTACGTATAGTATGTCTATACATATACATCGTGAAAAAAGTGATCAACCACCCTACAGTGCCTGCAGTCGTTAAAAAGGTTTTAATGTTTTTACTCTACCACTATATATTATATAATTAAACTTTAATTTTCATGTTCGCGCTGATGATTATTAATTTAGGTACTTATCTATTCGCGAGTGCTCAATTGTTTATTCGTTATTTTGTCGCTAGAAAAAAAAAGGACCTGATTAGCAGATAATATCGAATATTGACATTATCGATCGACAGTCTATTCATTCTCTACTTTGATCACTTAAGGTTAGGATGGCTTTTACGCTTACACCATAATTTTTTATACGTGCATTAGCAGAATATTATCACTTGTGTAAAATGTAAACAATACGTAAGTGATTGAAGTTTTGGTTGATTTTAGTTTTTAAAAGGTTCACAAGTGATAAGAATAGATTTTGGCAATGTAGTGTACATAGAACCTAAATTATTAAATCATTGAAAGTTACTAAAGGTGATGGTAAACGCTGTGTCTATTCGTACCAAATCCACGTAATTACGTGGATATAAGGTTAGGAATTTTAAAGAAAAACGCTACTTTTTCAAATGAAGTATGTCCACATGAAGTAAAGTTCGCACCAGTGCTCTCGCCTGGGCGTCTACTGAAGCGGGAGGGAAACGAAACCAGAGACTAAGGGTTATTGGACAATTCTAATCTCTGACGAAACGCACGAGCGCACGAGTGCACCGAGTGCACGAGCGTTCCTTTTGAGTTAGCGCGCATGGGTTTGGCTGATGCAGCACTCTGAGGGTGAGATTACATGGAGTCTGCATGGCAGTCTGCAGACTGGCAGAATCGCGCTAAGTTTAAATTATGTTTAAATTATAACATCTCAGAATAATTTAGTAAAATAATGAAAAAAATTGTAATTATTGTTATAACCGAATAAAGGCTTAGTTAAAATCAATTTCATTTACAATAAAACGTGTCAAATATTGTTTTATAACTTTTTTTATAGATTTATGTTAACATCGTACAGTCGGTCAGTAGGGTCACTGATGTAACCTGGTATGTATAACAATATGTAACTGTGACAAAACGTTTTTCGTCGCCTTTTTTTTCGTAAATATTAGTTAATACAGAAATGCAAATGTATTACGATAATTATTTCTTTGCTTACGTAACAGGTTTTAAATATTAATATTGAAACATATTTTAAACTTAGCGCGATTCTGCCAGTCTGCAGACTGCCATGCAGACTCCATGTAATCTCACCCTCAGAGTGCTGCATCAGCCAAACCCATGCGCGCTAACTCAAAAGGAACGCTCGTGCACTCGGTGCACTCGTGCGCTCGTGCGTTTCGTCAGAGATTAGAATTGTCCAATAACCCTTAGTCTCTGGTTTCGTTTCCCTCCCGCTTCAGTAGACGCCCAGGCGAGAGCACTGGTGCAAACTTTACTTCATGTGGACATACTTCATTTGAAAAAGTAGCGTTTTTCTTTAAAATTCCTAACCTTATATCCACGTAATTACGTGGATATGGTGCGAATAGACACAGCGGATGGTAAAAGTTCAAATATACTGGGAGATATTGTGTTTATAACCATAAGGTATAAATATGGACGCACTCCGAGGTTACGGTAGCAGCGATGACGAAAAAAATGAAAATCTTGAAACGAAGGTGAAAAATAAGAAAGAAAGCGATGTCCCTGAAATTGTTCATCCTTTTAAATTCTCGAGTACTTTGACTGTAAGTCTTTGCGCTGCTCCTGAAGTCGAATCCACGGTAAATTTGTTATACTTGCTTTTGATCATTATCCTCTTTGCTCGTAATCTAAGGTTCTTGGTTTGAATTTTTATAAATGCATTATTTACAGGGGACAGAAATGTGCATACAGCATATCGATTCCACAACAAAAGAATTAACCTTTAATCCAAAGTTTGATCAACTTTTTGCCCCGGAAGTAGGTCCTGAAAACCCATTTAAAACACAGCAACAAAAGGCTCCCAAGAATATGTTATCGGGATACGTAGAGAAAGCCCACATAAGTGAATTTCAATTTGAAAATCAGCGCCGAACCTTTACTAGTTATGGTAAGGTGATTTTGAAATGAAAATGTATGATACGTTTTTTTAGTTGCTTGTGTATTAATCTTTACTTTTTGTATTTTTGCTGCAAAGGCTATGCATTAGATCCCACTGTGGATGGAAGTGCTGAGGAAGGAAAATCACTAGTTGGAGCAATCGAAGCGGCTGAAGAGAGTGGGGCAAAGACTGTTTTTGAGCACACACCCATAAGACCTGCTGATAAGAGAAAAAGACACAAAAATGACAATCCCACGGACATAAATGGATTTTTGGGCCCTTGGGGTGGTTACATTGATGAAAGACGCATTATTAAGCCTTCTGAGGAAGAAGCTGCCGAGTTGGAGGAAATTTTAGCCAAGAGAAATAAGAGAGGGAAAGTTACAGATGAGAAGCCTCTTGAAGAAAAAACCGTCTTGCACAGTAAGTTTTTCCTACTGATTAAGTATCTGTTACTGTGATACATCATGCATTTGGTCATATTACTAAGTGTAAAAAACGTATTCTCCATAGTCAAAGACAGTGTGGATTATCAAGGAAGATCTTTCCTTCATGCTCCTCAAGATGTTGGGGTTAACTTGAGGTCAGATTCTCCACCAGAAAAGTGCTTCTTACCCAAAGCACATATTCATACATGGGAAGGGCACACTAAGGGGATTTCTCAAATACGATGGTTCCCAGTCACTGCACACCTTTTGTTATCTTGTAGTATGGATTGCCGAGTCAAGGTAAAAAATGATTAATCATAGTAGTGTCTTTGATTATGAATTTTTTGAAACAATTATTTTTATATTTCAAGTTATGGGAAGTGTACAAAGAAAGGAGATGCGTCCGCACATATTATGGTCATAGACAAGCTGTGAGAGATGTTAGTTTCGATAATGATGGTAAAAGATTTTTATCCGCTGGCTATGATCGTTATGTAAAATTATGGGATACCGAAACTGGTGCTTGTATAAATCGATTCACGAGCCGTAAAGTACCGTATTGTGCCAAATTTAATCCTGATCATGATAAGCAACATCTTTTTGTGGCTGGTACTAGTGATAAAAAAATTATTTGTGTAAGTTTTTTGAAAAATTATGTTCAAAATTTTGATTAACGTATCAATCAACTATCACAATCAATTCTATTACTTCATACTTTTAGTGGGATACTAGATCTGGTGAAATCATTCAAGAATATGACAGGCATTTGGGAGCTGTGAATACTATCACATTTGTTGATGAAAATCGTCGATTTGTTACAACCTCCGATGATAAGAGTTTGCGCGTTTGGGAGTGGTAAATATAAAATCTCTCACATGTTACTAGCTTATTTCTAAGTAATTTAAGTATTAAAAATTTGACTGTAAATTTTTATTCTCATAAAATAGGGACATTCCAGTTGATATGAAATACATAGCAGATCCAACAATGCACTCTATGCCAGCTGTTACTCCGTCCCCTAATCAAAAGTGGTTGGCATGTCAAAGTATGGACAATAAAGTTGTAATATTCTCAGCACTCAATAGATTTAAGATGAATCGTAAAAAAACATTTTCTGGACATATGGTTGCTGGTTATGCTTGTGGCTTAGACTTTTCACCTGATATGAGGTGTGTAAAAAATTTATACAAAAAATTTTTTTTTGTTTCATAAATTAGTATTAAAATGAAAAATATAATGTATTTTTAGCTATCTCGTATCAGGAGATGCAGATGGCAAATGTTACGTGTGGGATTGGAAAACAACGAAACTTTATACAAAATGGAAAGCTCATGACAATGTCTGTATCTCAGTTCTATGGCATCCTCACGAGCCATCCAAACTTGCAACTGCAGGTTGGGACGGAAAAATCAAGTATTGGGATTAAAGTTGTAAATATAAAAATAAGTTTTAACGTAAATAAATCCTATTTTAATTATAAATTTTTGTTTAATTTCAATAATCCATTACACATACTACATATATATAAATATAAAACATCGAGAAGCAAAAAAAAATTGTAAAAAATTTTTGTTGCAAGTGGTAACAGATAAGTTCAAATATATGCGTACTTTATTTTTCATGAAAAGATGATGTTTAATACGTTTAAGTAAAAATAAGCAATAGAGTTTCTTCTGTGCGCTTGTTAACGGTACAATTATTTCAGTCGTTTTTAAACTGTTGTAACATATGATATGCAAGTGATTCCTTAAGGTAATTTTTTTTTTTTTTTTTATAAGATTATTCGTCAGAATGTAATTTTGGCACCCATTGTGCAGTTGACTCATCAAGTAATTTTTACGTGTAAAAAAAACACATTCAGTGGTCACGTGGTAACAAAAATTTTTTTATTATTGAAATTGGGCCGAACAATACCACCAGCGCCAAATTCTTCATCCAAATAATTTATGAGGTAGTGACGGCTTCATCATGTTCGGAACCCAATAGTTGCAGAAGGAAAATCCAGTCCGAAATCGCGGGTACCATCCAAAAAGTACCGACTCTCAAAGAGCTCCTCCAACAAGGAATTATCCAATAATGAGACTATGAAAGAGCGATGTGCAAATATAAGTATTTCATCGTTACATCCGCTAAACGTATGTTTTCGCTGCGATAGCCGGGTCTTGTACGGTAAAAAAAAAAATACGTTTTGTCTCTTCTCGTATCAAGTTATTTTCTAATAAACATGGTAAAATCACAAAAATGCCACTAATAATTTTCATTGTTAGTAGTAGGGATGAAAGTTGTAGAATATAAAAATTAGTTCTAAGGTAAATAAATTTTTATTTCGATTTCCCAATTTTTTATTTGGTTCGAAAGACGCACTGTATAAGAAAAGATTGCGATATAACGACTAAAATCACATTTGTAAGTATATTATATGTTACAACAATAACCATCCTTACGTACACGTACTAAAAACATTAGTTAAAATTAACATAGTATACAAAACAACGCATTTACATGTTTTTTTTTTTTTAACAAATCACACATTAAATCTATAATTAAAATTTTAATATCTGCAACAATTTTCAAGTATAATCGAGCAGTAAAAAAATTATTAAAATTTTTGTTGCAAGTGTGGCAACAGTAAAAATATACAATAACTCTAAAACACAATTTTGTACTTTATTTTTCGTGTAAAGAAGATTTAATACGTTTGAGGAATTCTATTGCGAAGGTAAGCCAGAATTTCTTCCGTTCCTTTCATGAGAGTCGCTTGTCTCGGTTGCTTGAAACAGTTTCCACTCAAAGAGAGCATTCTGAAAAAGATAAATCTTTTGCGAATGAACAGCGTTGATACCGAATGGCCAGTGCAAATGTCGACCCAATAAACTTAATCAAGACGCATAAGTATAGGTATACTGTGTCTGCAGTTACCAAAGCGCTTGGCACGCAAAATTAGGTCTCACCTGAGATTATTGAGGGTCCCAAGTTCTGGTGGAACGTATGTAATATTATTGTTAGAAAGATCTAAATTCGCTAGATTCTTGAGATTGCTCAACGCTGGCACATTGATTGAAGACATTTTATTATCATTGGCTGTGAGTATCTCCAAGTTCGACACCTCGTACACGCACTCGGGCATCTCAGCGAACCTGAAACGCGGAAATAATAATACAAAAATAAATTTTTCACTGTCAAACGGCACAAATGACAAATCTCTCGCGTGTACGCACTTGTTGAACGATATATTGAGCTCTATCAGGAACTGCAGACAGCCGATGCTAGCTGGCAGCGAAGTCAGGAGGTTCTTACTCAAGTCGAGGTACCGCAACCTGACGAGGCTATCGCCCAGCCAGTCTGGCACTTCGGTCAGCAAGTTATACGACAGTTTGAGATCCGTCGCTGTGGTGACTCCGGCCAGTCCGTCGGTCAGCTCCTGGAGCTTGTTCCTACTTAAATCTACGCAGGTCACTTCGGCTTCTTTGGCATTCTCGAAGACTTCCTCGGGAACCTCCGCCAGGTTTTGGCCCACCAGGCTCAACAGTTTGGCGTTTCTCATCGTGTATCTACGACATTTATTTTTTTCATCCTGATGAGTTGTATAAAAAAAAACCTTGTTATTGCATATTGTACTTTGTAGTTAATTGGTTCATATCAATTTTTCATGTTAAAATACTTGTGTAAAAGAAAACTGAATGAAAAAAAAAAAAAAAAAAAAAAAAAATACTTTGCCGGTGCATGTTTCACAGTATACAGATATATAGGGGTAAATGATCCAATTACTGCGCAGGCACCAATTACTGCGCACTCGACGGTAACTGAAAATAAGAAAAACAGACTGAAAAATTTGAATATAATTGTTTAACTGAGTGACTCTAAACGAATCTAACCTACAAAACTTTGTAGTCGTGAGTAGTAATTGGTGCGCAGCAATTGGGTCTAGGGCTTCAGCATGAAAACCTTATGGGAGATACCCGCGCAGTAATTGGGGGCGCAGCGACTGGTGCTAATTTCATAACCGTGCGCAGTAATACCAGCAAGTGATATCAGCACTAAAACATGCAATTATTTAAAAAAAAAAAAAAAGTTACTTAACAGAAAAATGTTTGTCGTTTTAATCGCACAAGATGCTGCAGATGAAGATTAAGTAAAACTGGTTCAATTTACATCGAAAAACATTGAGAAATGAGAAATTTAGTACAATCAAAAATTTCAGTGCGCAGTAATTGGGTCATTTACCCCTATATTCTGCAGAAAATAGCGTACGCTACGGCATATTTCTTCCAGTTTGAAAATCGTATCAGGAGAACAGGAGGTATCAGAAGTAGCGCGTGACTACGATCTGCATTACCCACTGCCGGTCATAATATCCCTTGGTGTTTTCGAAACTTCAAAATTTCCAATAAAATCGAGAGGACTCGGGTTAGATAGTCCGTAAATTATGCGTCAATAAGCTCGACGCTCGAAATAGTATCAGGCGAACATGACGGGCGAAGAGGTAAGTATGGCTCACGTTAGGCCGCGTCCACATTGGCGCGTCTGCTCGTCTGCCTAGTTATTCGCTGCCAACGTGCAAACCTCAAATAAACTACAAAAAACGTGTTAATGTACGGGATGTGTTGGGAGTTGATTCATTTGAGGTTGGCAGCGAATAACTAGTCACGATTCAGACGTACGTCGGACGCGTCGATGTAGCCGCGGCCTAAGCTCGAAGGAGCTATTCCTGCGTGATTCTTACATCCTGTTTATTTTTGGGTGTAGGTAAAACGGATTATTGTCACCATCGGCTCGGCCATCGGAGCTTAGAAACGAAACCGAAACCGCTTTCTTTAAAAAAGTCTGATGCAAATAATAGGAGATTAGAAGGGTGGAGGATTATAAAAAAATACATTATATTTTATGTAATTGAGCTCTTGGTGGGGATGCTCTCCTGATCTTTTTTTTGTGAAGGGGAGCCATTTCGCTCCCATCGTGTGCCCTATCGGGAATCAGGAGCAAACCTGCTCGAGCTTCATGCTGTTCTGATGAAACTTAGTGGCTGTTCCTGCCTCTGATGGTTAGGCACCAAATTTTTGTCGGCTATAGGGACGATCTGAATCCATTCCAAGTGTCTCCCGCGTGTACTTACTCGAATATTGTCGTGTCAAACACTACCTTGGTTGATGTGCGGTACTTATTCGACGTAAGTACAAGCGATCAAAAAATGGGACTTCATGGAAATTCGCGTATTACAATACTGTACCGATTGTTACGTGCACAACAATAAAGTTTCGACTCCAATGTAATTAATTACATTATAATTATACAAATTATAATTTACGAGCCAACGTAATCACGCACAGCGGAATTCCTCTAGATCAGTTGTCACATGGTACCCAGATATTGGGGTTACTTTTCGACTATTAGGCATTTGCAAAAGTAATAAAGAAGGCTGGGGGCACAGTCGACAAGTACAAAGGTCGACCAGACTGAGAGATTTCTTACTGGTCAACATGCTTGCAAGATGAAACTGGATTGTAAAGCTGGACAAGTGTTTACATTTTCAAAGAGACTTTTTAAAATCTGGTGAATTTTTAAAGGGCTTCGACTCAAATATGGAAATGACAATCGTATCACCAAGTTTCGCCTCGTCACCTTTAAGCCGCGACAGCCCGTCGTGTCATCTTGACTCAAATTGGATACTTAGTTACTTATACGAGAAGAATTTTGGATTATACACCGAGATAATAGATCCTGATCAGCAGCCGAAAAAGTTCTACGGTAGAGTGTTGTATACGTATACGAATAATAATTAAGATATCTGTATACAACCGTTTTCAAATTTTCTGTCAATTTAAATGAAAATTAAATACGCTTGCTGAAGATAAAATTAACTTACCATCATAAGTAAATAAAAACATTACTTAGTGATAATTAAAAAAAAAATATTTGTATATATTTTAATTGACGTAAAAAAGTAAGAGCATTGTTTGCATGATGATTATTATTTGNTACGCGCGCTCCGTCATTGCTCGTGGACTGTCAACATCTGCACGCGTGACGCGAGTCGCATGTACATAAACATCCGTCGCCAATGTTAATACCCAATTGCAACCGGTTTTACAAAATCGGTACTTTTTTTTTTTTTTTTTTTTTTTTTTTTTTTCGATTCGGCATTAGAAAATAAATCATTTTTCCGGTTTACTCAATGAATGCTCGTAGAGATAATGCATCAGTAGAATAAAAGCCAAACGACTCACTTGTCGGGAAAGGTGTTGGGATTGCAAACCCTCAGCGGTGAGTTCATCGTCTCCGTGTTCGTTGGATTAATGGTCTGCCTGAGGTGTTTCATTATCCGCGGCGTCCCGCATCTCACGATGTCCTGACGAATATTCTTCACCCTGTTCCCATCGATCACGAAATTTTGTAAATTTGGCATCTTACCCACGCAACTTGGAATCCTGCAAGTACCATATAATGACATATATTCACATCGATCCAATCATCGAAACGCTTCATCTCCAAACTGCGATGACTATACATATATTGTCATGATTATACTCATCAGCCGCAATTGCATTTTTATGTATATATATATATAGGTGTTTGCGATCGAATCACAATTAAAGCGCTTTATATATAATATATACTAGGCATGCATGTTTACTCACGCAGAAATATTGTTGTAGGACAGATCTAATTGCTCGACGCTTATCAGCATGATGATTTCGTCGGGTAGCACCTCAACCTCGTTGTTGTTCAAATTCAATATTTTCAATTGGCCGAGGCTCTCGAGACAATTAACGTCGATCTCGGTAATACTGTTGTGGGAGAGAAAGAGCTCCTGCAACGACGTGCAGCCCCTCACGTCCGGGAAACTGGACAAGTCGTTCATGTGCAGGTCCAATCGCTCGATTTTCCGAAGCTCGCCCAGCGAGGGGACCACCTCCAACCGATTGTTGCTCGCGTCGAGCTTCTTCAGGGCTGCAATTGTTTTTTTTTTTTTTTTTCCTTTTCATTGCTTATTTCTTTTACGCGCGTTAAATTTTCAGTCGTAAGTATACACGTGCCAAAATTTTACTCTGCTTCGAAAATTTGGACGCGAGCGCGTTGGTTCCTTATTATTTCACGAGTTCGATGAATTTTTCAAAATCGACTGCTCGAATCAATTTAACGATGCGGACTTTTCGAGATTTTCTTTTTTTTTTATTAAAAAAGATAGGCAAGTGTTATCATTTGCAGCTATGTCACACACTTTTGGCGTGAAATAAAAAATATTGCCGTAACGTGACATTTACTGTGATAAATCTACATAACGTGTAAGGAGAATGCGGGAGAAAGAAAAAAGATTCGACAAACCTCTCATGCTCATCACATCCGGGGGAAGTTCTTTTAATTTATTGTGATTTAAATCTAGGGCGATCAAGCGAACCAAATAGCCCAGGCCCGTGGGCAAATTCGTCAGCTCGTTGTTCGAGAGGTTCTGAAAAAAAAATAAAATCACATAAAATAAAATTGTAATGACTTTCCGCAGCCATACTTGGGCACGGGTACTTTTCAACTTTTTTTAAATATAATTTTTTTGCTAACAGTGTATCGCTTTGTTTATGCTAAAAAAATTGTTTTTAATTACCACTTGTAAAACAGTGCTTAACCAAATGTTTTCCAGTAAAAATAATCCACTACAATAAGAGTCCCAATGATATTGAAAATTTTTTCCTTCAAACACTCGACAACGAATTTTAATATCTCAAATGTATTGCAGTTATCTGATGAAAAAAAAAAAAAAAAAAAAAAGTTTCTTACCCAATATTGTATTGTAAATAGTGGCAAATCAGAAAAAAGAATACAATTTAATCAGGAGAAAAATTTTTTCTAAAAACGTCCATGAAATAATTGTGCCCAAGTCTGCCCGTAGCAAGAAGATACATTACATTTTTTTTAAATCACATAATGTACAGTGATCGTACCAGGTATTCGAGCATCACCAAGTCGCCGATTTTCGGACTCAATTCTTTGATCAAGTTGCTCTTTAGATCCAAGCACCGCAGTTCCGTGAGATTGAAAAACTTGCATGGCAAATTTCGCAGCTTGTTTGACGATAAATTTAATTTCCTTAGTTTAACCAGACACCCGATCTCCTCGGGCAAGGATTCCAACAAATTATCGTGTAACTGTAACATCAATCAATGACTTACATTTTGTAACAAGGCGATTAATTATTTTCAGACATAACGTTAAAAATCGGTTGACATGTATATATTTATACGCACGTCGCAGTTGACTAGATCGGCCAAATATTTAACATCCTCGCTCAATTTTATTAAGCTGTTGGAACTCAAATCTAACGATTTCAAAGGCTCGTACTCCCACCATTTACTTTGATTGTCGGAATTGCGAAGGTCGACTTGCAAATCCTTCAACTCTGTCTCAGTCAATTCATTAATGGTCCACACTTGATCCGGCACTGCAAAATTTATTCGATTCTTACGACCACATTTTCACGTGATCAAAACGTCGTAACACATCAAAACGAGAGCACAACATTTTTGGTGATTTCTTTCGCGTAGAAAAAAGATCGGTATCGATAAGATAATATATTATACATGAATTGCAGCGATCCGATCTCGTTTTTTTATTTCTCGTTTCGTTTATGGAAACTTGCTCGCTGCCTGCAGCTACCACGCGCCACCGATGCTTGTCTGTATGAGACAGCGCGTGGACGTAGAGTAAAAGTACGATCGGGAGATTTTGTACGTGCCGATAAAACGATTAAACATCGATAAATCATAAGATCTGCGTATGGTGATTGTATTATCTTACGATTACGAGAAATACGGTAGCGGAAAATTGTGTCTCGTGATGTATGAATATGTACAATCGTTGGTGAATTCATTTTTATTCAATCGCATCTACGACCTCGTTTAAACTAGCTGATGTGTCTCATGGAATCGGTTTACCTGAAAAGAGCATACAAGTCGTTCGATTTTTTTTGACAACCAATGCTCGTTTAATTATAGTTCCAGAGTTGAGAAACAAACTCCTGCATCGGAGACACAACAATGATACGGTGAAAAAACAAAAAAAACAAAAAAAAAAAAAAAAAAAACGACCGAAAGCCTTGGTAGAAATTTTTATTACCAATAAACCTCGGGACATTTATACCCAGTTTCTGGCTACCCGCCCAATTCTAACCATGTATATGCTTTCCCGTCCGATTTTACACAATAACAACATAATTTACATGTATATGTATACCTGTACGAAACACCGATGGGTGCGCGCGTATATACCTATTTGAAATGTATGTATTATATCACCTGTCATCGGCAGTCTCTCAACTCTCGTTTGTCCCGCGATTCGACACGACTTTTAACGGGTTCAAGTTTAAAATAAAAAGGGAGGGGGGGGGGAAATGACGCTGACTTGCAAATTTTCACGCGTCCACGGACAATTATTACGACGAACGACCGTCACGAAGTGAATTAAGCTAAAATGTGTTTCTCTGCGCGGCGCGTTCTGAATGATCTTCGCGTAAAATCGACAAGCGTAACTCGAAAGCAAAAGCAAAGGTATTGGTGCACACGTGAGCGCAGCAAAAGTTGAATCTCTCTCGCTTTCACCCATCTCCTTTTTTTTTGTTGCCATGCTCTTCTCGAACAAATACATGTTACAGTACCTACTAACAACCGCGCGATATGTTGCAAAAAAAAAAAAAAAAAAAAAAATGTACATCTCTGCGCGCGCATCAATCATCATCAAAAACCATACGTGTGCCGCCTGTGCGATAAAGAGCGCAAAAGCAATAAAGTATTGTTCATAGACATATTATATTACAGCAGGTAAGTACAATGAATTACCCGATGACAGTCCCCGGGAGGACAGGCAAAGTTTGCCGGACTTCCTGGCGTTGACGACCAGCTCGGCGGAAAGCTCGGAGTTGTCGTCGCTCCTCGTCCGAGCCCTGAACACGGAGCCCAGATGATTATTGATTTTCCTGCGGCCGGCCTTCATCTTCCTACGGCATGGCTTTTCATTCGCTCGTGTGTGTATCTTCCCCCTCCCCCCCTCTTGGATGTACCGTGTGTATATAGGTACACGCGAGTCTCACTCGATAAATATTTCAGCAGAGCGCACTCGCGATCCCTTGACAGCACATGCATACACACTCACCCCCTACACCATATAATATCAACCCTCCTGCTGTAATGTATATATACCGTCCTTTTTTCTCTCTTTACGCGCGCTCCGTCATTGCTCGTGGACTGTCAACATCTGCACGCGTGACGCGAGTCGCATGTACATAAACATCCGTCGCCAATGTTAATACCCAATTGCAACCGGTTTTACAAAATCGGTACTTTTTTTTTTTTTTTTTTTTTTTTTTTCTCCCACGTTAGTCCTTCGAACTTTAGGCTCGCGAGAGCTTTCAGCCCACTTTTTTAGAGCACACGCGTACACACGCTTAGCAGCACTGAAACTGCGCGGGTCTATAGAGCCGAGAGAGAGAAACACACACGACGTGCACCAGCTATATAGGTACGCGTTACAAGTTACAAATGCGCGTCTGCCAGCCAACACGGTAGATCTTATACACAAGTTGGTCTCGGGAAAACGATCGCGAATCGCAACCGTGTGCGCAGCCACTCTCAGCTATACGTGTTATAATATTGTACCCATACCTATATTTTACTCCCATCAAGTATTTATATTTGTTATTATTATAAATCACGAGTCGCGACGTTATATAGTTATGTCACACGAGAATATATACATTACGTTAGGATAAGAGGTAGCAATAAGAGTAATATAAGCACGCCTATATGCTGCCTAGCCGCCGTAATGAACTGGCGCATGTGCGAGGGAGGAACGTGTGCCAAAGAGCTTACATAGGCTGTATAGGTGGGAGCTTTATATACAACAGGAGGGGGGGTGTGGGGCAATGCAAAAAGCACTATATGATATTACGTCGTTGTCTATATACATTACCCGCGAAGTTGGTACATACGGGCGGGAGCATTATTTAACTTTTTTCTTTTTCTTTTTTTTTTTTTTTTTTTTTTTTTTTTTTTTTTTTTTTTTTTTTTTTTTTTTTTTTTTTTTTTTTTTTTTTTTTTTTTTTTACATACGTATGACGCGTGTGTTGACAGAATCGTTAATGTCGAGGTGTGTGGGCTTGCAGCTGTTGTTATATTTGGTTCAGCTGAACTATACAAGGTTTTTGTTTGATCGTTACGCATGGGGTCCTCTCGAATTTTTGCTTGACGAGCTGCTATTTTGAGCCATGTGCAGCGGGCGAGAGATCGATGACGACTATGGCTTTTGGCAGAACGTCCCGGATTGTGTAGAAAATGTAGAAACAATAATTTTTTTTTTTTTTTTTTCCATGTGGCTAATTATGTTCGTGTATCGCCGACTCGCGAAATATTATTGCATCAATCGCGAGGTTTTTCTTTACCGATAATCGAGTATAGATNGCAAACACTTGGTATTCGTATATTACATGCTGTATACATGCACGCGGTATAATAATTCTGCCTCTCTTTAATACACACGTACTCGTTTGCTCAGAATTACGTACTTCAAGTACTCTCGAAACGTAGAAACAATAATTTTTTTTTTTTTTTTTCCATGTGGCTCGGGAGTCGAAAAATCGTTTACAACCGCACATACGCGCGCCTGTAATCTAATAACGGTTCATTACATGGATGCTATGTGTGCAGTTCTTGAGAAACTAGGACTGGTAAAATGATATTATATAATATGTGGTCTCTGACAAAGGTTTGCTCTGTGTGTATTACGTCAATTTTAAATTTACGTTTAAAATTAGCTCGTTTACTTTATGGAGTCGACGCATGTACGTACTTTAATTTAACACATGTGTTTGTCCATTTTAAATGTGGTTTCAACTACTATTTGCTTTTTCTCCTTACAAACTCGATGTAAGAGAAGATTTTTTTTTTTTTTTTTTTTTTTTAACAAACAACAAATTTGTCAATCTGGGTATATCTACCGCATTAACGATAAAACACAAAAGCGAAGAGTATTGACAAAAGAATACTTTTATTTTCGGTCATTAAAACGATCTGTGTCATTTGGGTACTGTATGTACATACATATACGCTTTGCAAGCTGCAATTCACCTTGAGCGTTTTCATCACTGGACTATAGTTCCCCCTTTTTTTACCAGACCCTCCTATTTAGCGGCTATTCAGCAATTTATTATTCTCCCCGCAAATATGTATGTTAACCATATAGTATATGCTGTTGCAGTAAAAAAGCTGTTAAAAAAACTTGGACGATGATTTATTTGTTGTTTGCTTCGTACAATGGATCCTTACAAGTCCACTAGCAACACTTGCCGATTTTTTTTTTCATTGCAGTTTTCCAATTTCGTGATAATTCAAAGTGAGGATAAAAAAAATTTCACATTTTTTTTCCAAAACTGCCCCGATTTTTATTACTGTTATTATAAGTATTCCATGACGGGAGATCAAACCCTTAAAATAGCCAAAACAGACTTTACCTTTTTTTTACAACAAATGACGATTTTCAGTGCTGTAAAAGTGCTTTCACTGTAAGTTTATAGAAACTTTGCTGCAGTGATTTATTCGGCAGAACATTCTACATATTTTTAACGTAATTTTATGAGCAAAAATCATTCGCTAGACATGTTTTCAAATAAAAGATACACTCAATAATGTTAAAATTATCATTCTTGCCATCCGTAATCCAATGGTTAGAATTATTAATTTTATATTTAAAAGTACATTATATTTTGTCACATGAGTGGATATCTTATTAAATAGGTAGAATTCGCAGCCTAAACATTTTTTACATTCTCGGGCGTCATTTTGGCTGGGTTCTGAAAGTCATAAGTCATTATTATTGCGGTAGACGACTGTCGGAATATAAGCCCATTTTGCCGCTTCTGAAATTAAAAAAAAAAAAAAGAACGTTTTGTTACCATGCAAGCAATTGTGCGCAAGTTGTCAACTCTGTAGGTAAAAGTTCACAGTTTGTGGTTTGTGTCTGCACTACTCAGTCTGCTGCAGTGTCTGTACCACGTCTGTACACGTCTGTGGTTCACAAGCGCAACAATTAATATCGACATTAGTGACAAAACGATAAGTAAATAAATAAATAAGAAAACGCTGTGTCTATAGTAGCGTTTTTCTTTAAAATTCCTAACCTTATATCCACGTAATTACGTGGATTTGGTGCGAATAGACACAGCGATAAGAAAAATGCCGTACGCTAATCAGCCTACGGTTCAGATAACCGAACTCACGGAGGAAAGCATAAAGTTTCAGGTCGAGGACACCGATCTCAGGTAAGCTTGCATTTGATTAACCACAACTTGTTAATTTCGTTACGTGTAAACTTTGTTTGAAATGTTTTATTTATTTTTTAAATGACAAATTAATTTGTTTTACAGTGTCGCAAACAGCTTGAGAAGAGTATTTATTGCTGAAACACCAACGATGGCAATTGATTGGGTGCAAATAGAGGCCAATTCTACTGTCCTCAGTGACGAGTTCCTAGCACACAGGATTGGAATGATCCCTCTGATAAGCGACGAGGTAAGTTTATTTATCCTTGACTTTGAAAATTATTGCAGTAACATTTGTAAAGGTACTATTTGAAAGTAAATTGTTATGCCGCAGGTTGTTGAGAGAATGCAATACACAAGAGATTGCTCATGTATGGACTTTTGTCCAGAGTGTTGCGTAGAATTTACATTAGATGTAAAATGCTCCGAAGAGTCAACCAGACATGTAAGCACAGCAGATTTGAAATCCAGTGATCATAGAGTGGTTCCAGTAACATCTAAGCACCGTGAGGATGACGGAAACGATTATGGAGAAACAGATGGTTAGTTACTGCTTTCACACGATTATTATTTTTGCAATTCTTACCCTCTGTTGTTTTTTATAGAGATTCTCGTAGTCAAATTGAGAAAGGGACAAGAATTAAAACTCAGAGCTTATGCTAAAAAAGGTTTTGGTAAGGAGCACGCAAAGTGGAATCCCACTGCAGGGGTGTGCTTTGAGTATGATCCTGACAATGTTATGAGACACACACTGTATCCTAAGCCTGATGAATGGCCAAAGTCAGAATACTCAGAATTAGAAGAAGACCAATGTAAGTTGGATAACATACATGACGTAATGCTAACGAGTGTGATTTATTTGCACAAAAATTAATTTTTTTTAATTATGTTTATTTTAGATGAAGCTCCTTTTAATTGGGAAGCAAAGCCTAATAAATACTACTTCAATGTGGAGAGCTGTGGGTCTTTGAAGCCGGAAAATATTGTCATGATGGGAACTGCTGCTTTAAAAAACAAACTATCAAATTTGCAAACGCAACTGAGTCACGAAGTACAAAGCGATGCACTCACAATTCACCACTAGTTTCATAAATTGACATTAAATGATCTTTATTATTGTATTTTGTATATAAATAAATTAAAATTCACGCAACAAACAGTATTTTCTCCCATTTGTAAATAATACATTAACGTTAGGTCGTGATATCCTCTATAGGGTAACGCATAACCATTTGAGACACTTACGAAACTGCGAGGGAATTCGTATACTAGCAAATCAACGCGTTTGTTGTGGTTAGCTCGGCAGGTGATTGGTGAAAAAGACTCAAAGTTAAAATAAGGTTATATAGTACCATCAGTGTTTATGTTCGGTTTCAACCGTTTTTGTATTTGGGTTGTGCTGACGAGTGAAATTCATCCAGTTACTTAACAAATTTTCTCCGTGCGATCAAGAAATCACAACGCCCGCTGTGTTACTCAAAGTTGATATAGTTAGAGTTATACATACATTGATTGCAGGGCTTTTTGCAACTTATTTCCTTTTTGAATACTTTTTTTCAACGCAAACGATAGACTCGTCTGGCGCCAGTTAAAATTTGTTGACGTACAGACTCGGACTTGAAAAATGGCTGGGATTTTCAGCATCTTCAGTGAGCTGGAAAATGCTCCTCCAACACCCAACAGCAGAGGTAATTTTTTTTTTTTTTTTTTTTTTTTAATAAATATTTAAAATCACCAACTTGGTAAATCTTTTAGGCAAAGAGAACTCCAGATCCAAATTTTTCGGGAGTGTAGAGGTCTTGACGACAAAATCGATTCAACCTCAAATCAAGCCCAAAGGCCTATCCATTCGCTCAAAATCAGATCTTAATGTTTCCACCTTAAACAGTGTTGGGGCTAACCGACTTAATTCAAAAGATTGCCATGTGGCCAAGGAGAAGCAGTGTCTTTCTTCTAAATCCGTATCACCTTTAAAACTGTTGACCCCTAAGGTAGTAATTTTTTTTTACTCGTCTTCATTTTTATGTCCTTTCTAAGGTCACTGATAATAAAACTATACTTATTGTTGTCACAGAAAAAAATTGAAAATTATGCAAATAAGAAACTGTCACCAAAAATATCATCTCCATTAACACAGAACGTTCCAGATGAGTTTGTATTTAAAAAACCAGCAACACCACAAGCGACAAAAAAAGCAACATATCCTGAACCAGAAAAAATGTCTTACTATTACGATCCTGTCAAGTACATAAGTAAGTTAAAACGTTCATTGTGAACTAAATGAATTATTTCAAATCACTAAATTGGTTATTTAATTACTCATCTATAGGTGAAATAACTGAAAATGAGTTCCAACATGATGCTTTGTTATTTAAATCACTCCATAAAAGTAATGATTCTATTGAATTGAATGAAGAAGACTCGGGCTTTCTTTCTGGTAAATTTTTTTTCAAACAATATTTCATGCAATTTTGTTTTGGAATCAAATACACTAATAATTTTTCTTCTGGATTTAGATTCCGGCTTCGAATCTTTTGACTACTCGGTTACCCCGTCTCCGCCATTATTACCATCATTTAGCAGTATTGAGCTCCCCGAAATTTCAGACTGCGAAGATTAGAGATACAAGTGTTTGTTCAAACAACAGTTTTTTTTTTATTATTAACTGAAAAGTACAATAATTTGTTTGGCTTTGGCTGTGTTAATTTATTGTTAATATTGTAACACTTTTTATCTCATAGAAATTAATTAATATTTTTTCATATTTTTTATTTTAATTAATATTTAACTCAATTATATTTTTACTGTCAAATTGTTAAGCATGATTTGGAATAAGAATCTCTGTATTTACATTGAAGGCATATTTTTAATTATTATAAGGCAGAGTATATTAGTATTGAAATAAACGGTTTTTTTTTTTTTTAATAAAAGAGTGCAACGCTGTTGCTTAAAGCAACCAACTCCAATGTCTTTGATTTCTTGTGCCTTTTAATATCGTTCAAAAGAGTTCAAATGAGTTCAATTATTAATGAATCCTCTAAACGTTGTGACTATGGTAATATTTAATAAAAGAGCAGTGCTTTTATTTGCAACCAACTTCATTTTTACGCGTCATTTGACGAATCGTTTTTATCTTTAACACAAAAGTTAAACGAGTTAAAATGACCTTAATCAATATAGCTGGCTCCCATCCTAGCAGTTTTAATTTTAACTATGCTTGTTTTATTTCTCATAATTTATCAAAAACATTGCCAAATTTTTTCTCGACAATAATTGTGAAAAGCTCTTCCGATTGGGAGGTAATAGAGAATCCATGTTATGATTATACTAGTTGTTGCTGAATTTTTTTTTCTTATTAGAGTTGGCTAGAAAAGAAGAACAAAGAAAATGAGTGGTGTCACGATACATCACCACTGATCTGGCGAGAAACTGGGATGTGCGGTTCAAAGCCAGTGTACATTGGAGGATACTTAGAATACATAAAGTTCATAAATGACTATTACGGAATGGAAGTTGCTCTCACAGAAACTGAAATAAGAAGTCTAAGTTTGGATTATGTAATGTATCTAGTTGTTATAAATATAAAAAGGTGTGGTTTGTAAATTAAAAAAAAAAATGTGTTTCAGAATCTTATTTTTGAAAAAGAACTTGAGGAGGTCCAAACCACTACAATTAATATAACTATATTAGGGGCAGGGTATTCAGTTTGCCCAGACCTTGTTGCTCAACTCGTTACTATGAAAGAATTTACGAAACTTGGTACAGTAATCAATCTTTACGATGAACCAGGACATTTTTTCAAGCTAAAAGATATTGTAAAAGATGCAATGTCCATTGGTGGTGATTTGAAGGCAATCAATACTTTTGACAATTTATTTGATGCTCTGAAAAATTGTAACATCCTGATTGCTCTCGATGACAACGTCAGGTTCTATAAGCGATATATAAGCGTATCAAAGCTTCACTCTACAATTGATTATGGTATTTATAAATCCGTTTTTTGTAATTTTAGAGACGAATGCGAAAGCATCGATCAATGGTTGAAGAGAAATTATGAAAGCTCCAAGGACTTGGCGGAGCAAATAAATTTGCATGCTTCGCAGGATATAAAAGTTATTTTGTGTTCCATGGGTCCAACCTGCTTTTGCGCAAATGTAATAGTAAAGTATGCAACAAAACTCAATAAACACCAAGTTGTTGCAATCAGTGCACATTATGGCCTGGAAATGCTTTATGATGTTGCTAACTCACTGAATGGGATTGGTTGCCCCCCAGTGTGGGGATTCTTGGGTATGTGTGCATTGATCAAATCGTTCAATCAAGTTATATTGTTACATAAATTGACAAAACTGATATCATTTAACAGGAATTTCGTCATACGTGGATATTTTCCATACAGTTCAAAGATGCTACGATTACTTGCCGCAAAAACAAAATTCTTGTCTCTCTTATCTAGCTTCAAGCAAATTTCCTTACGAACAACACTTTAAAAAAAAATCAATTTGCATGTATCAAGTTGGACGATGCGAAGATTATCAAAAATGCAAAGCTATCTGCGATTTACTAAGACTTTGGTACAAGAGGGATGAAGCGAACATAGGTGATGAAATTATAACTCTGGGAGTCTCGTCTGATGGTATGAGTGTGTGATTATAATAATATGAATGCTTTATTAGACTTTGAGTAAAATATGCCATTTACGCAGGATCTTTTGGCATTCCGAAAAACGTATACTTTTCACAACCAGTACATCTTAAAATTCTCGATGACAATTCACGAGTTTGGGTCCCTTGTTCAGAGTTTCCATTTCCGATCGATTCTCCGGCTGTATTGAAAAATCTGATGGAAACTGCGCAACTTATTTTACAGAATCATCGATTAATAGATTAATACACTGCACCCGATATTTAAAAATGAGTCAAGTAAAATTTTCTGTTCAATTAAAATTTGGAGCAGCTTATTTTTGAAAACCCCGCAAAGAAGATCCCGGCACTGATTGGTGCCCTCTTTTCCTAACCTAAGTTTATATTTTTTTTGTGTACTGCGATAGTTTTTGTTTACCAACAAACAAGTACTTATGTGAAATTGAGATATTTTTTTCTGCCTGACGAAGAAAAAAAAAATACGTTAAAAAGTATCCTCCAGCTTTTTTCCAATTAGACAAAAGCTGTACAGTCTACTTTGAATGATAAATAATTAAACAAGGTTTGCGAGACATAATCAAAACACACAATGTCGGAAAGCATCATAGAAATTGATCCAGAACTAGCTAAACGTTTGTTGATTGAAGGAGGAACTTTAATTATGCTGGACGTACCAACTGGAACTGATTTTGGCATTGACATCAAGTCGTGGAACAGCGGCGAAAATTTCAAGGGCATAAAAATGATACCTCCAGGATTTCACTTTGTACATTATAGGTTGAGATTCTTAACAATTTGTTGAGCATAATGGAATTGAGTTTTTGAAGGAATTTGATTTTTGTAGTGCTACAGATGATTACGGAGAGTCTGCACCTCGAGTTGGATTTTTCCATTTCTTTAGCAGGTCTGAATTTGTTGTGAAAAAATGGGATCCAAAAATTGAGGATATCAGTTTGGAAGGTGAGTACAAGATAAAACTAAATAAAAAGTATTAATTTAATAGTTGATAATATTTGTTGCTTAGCTGTACCTGAAGAAACTGTGCAAAGACTGAAAAGCAACTTACTAGAACTTGATAGATACCTTGGAGCATATCCTTACGACATGTGGAAACAGTGGAAAGAGCTGACAGATAAAATAGACAAATCCCTCGTAGAAAGATGTAATCCAAAGTCTGGGTAAGTGTCGATGTCATTACAGTTGTAAATTTTTTGTGGACATTTTTTTCTCATAATTACAAATCCACTTTAGGTACGTGCGCTCTGCGTTGGAATTAATAAATTATGATGATGCCACGAGACCACGAGGTGGTGAGCCGAGTAAAAAAAGAAAAAGAGGCTCAGGTCTAACTCTTGAAGAAAGAGAAAAGGAACTGCTGCCTGATCTTAAACCTAAACCAGGAACAGAGCTTAGGTTGACAGAGTTGCCACAAAAATTTTATCCCGATGATGCTACACCAGCTGAAATTACAAGGCACTCACTCGACACAAGTTATGCACTCGATCTTATGCTTAACAAATTGAAAGAGTAATTCGGACTTTTCTTTAATAAAATCCTTATTTATTGTTTCAATTATTTTGTTACTAATGAATAATTATTTCTACAGTCCAATGGAAATAATTGGTGAACTGCAGCTAACGTTTGTATGTTTCTTAGCGGGTCAAAGTCTGGATTCATTTGAACACTGGAAAGCTCTAATTTCTTTAATCTGCAAAGCAGATTCTTTAATTGAAAGAAGAAGAGCCATTTACGTTGAATTTTTTAAAGTGCTGGAAGTTCAATTGTCTCACGTTCCTGAAGAAGTCTTATGTGACATTGTCGCTAGTAATAACTTTGTTTATCATAACTTGAGAAAATTGTTTGCCAACATTGAAGAAAATTCACAAGTTGACGACAGATTAAAGAGCTTAGCTAGTCGAATGAAAGATAAACTTACAAAAAAATTTTTGTGGGATTTTAAAAATTTGCTAGATGAAGAAGACGATGAAGCACCTGTTGTAGTTTCAATGGACTGAGTAATTTGTCGTACAAATAATGTAACATTATTTTAATCAGCGACATTAAATATGTTTTAAACTACGTTAAACGATCAGTGCGAAATTTGACGATTTTTAATTATATTGTACATAAGTGATCCATTTGCGATGAATGTTATTAAAAATTTTCTTATAAACGTTACTGCTATTTTCATGTTCCTGTAATACAAATTGTTGAAAAAACGAAAGCAAAAAATGATTTCGCCCGGGGTCGAACCGGGGACCTTCCGCGTGTTAGGCGGATGTGATAACCGCTACACCACGAAATCGCATGAGAGGGGAGACCAATAGCATTTCAAACGGGAAAAAAATTTTCTTCTTAATCATTACTGCAGTAAAAACAAGATTTTTCCCACTTGGGGCATTTTTTTTACCTTTGGAGGGCTTACTCTGTGCCCTTAGTTAGAAAAATAAAAGTTCTCACTTGGTGTGTATGCAAATATGGTACTTAAGCACACGGAGTTTCTCGAGCCCAGTGCTTGTCCTAGTGATAAGTGCCACACGAGGTACGAAAACTATTTTTTCATCCAATAAGCAACGTCAATAAATATTTTCAAGTTTATTTATTTTCCAGTTCGTAATCATCACTAAATTACGTACACAAAATTAGACGAAATATTTGATATTTTCATAAATTATCCAAACATTGACATGTGATGTAAGAATTTTGAATTCACAAACGAGTTTTTTTTCTTTTTGTGCACTAAAAAAGAAATGTTAAGAATAAAAAAAAAATTTTTAATAGAAATAGTTTTAAACAAAAAACTATTAAAAAACATACTAGGTTCTGGTGCTATTTCTGGATGGGAAGGCTTTGTTGGCTGAGGCTTTTTCTTTCCGTTTTGATTCGACGTAACTTTTACGAGACACGATCCCATCACTGCTTGGGACTCCTTCAAAATACATTTTTTTTAAGTAGCTCTGTTGTATGTCTACTGTTAGAAAATAATCATTGAGTATTAATAAATGAAAGACTATCATTATTATTTTTTTATATCAACAAAACATCATTAAACACTTTTATTATGTTCTTTAATCATACAATTGAGCTGATTATCGGATAACTCTGTATTTTAATAGTTTTTTTCAAAAGGATCCATCGTATTTTTCAAATTTTCATAAGTAAATAATGTCTCCACCCTAGCTTGACGTTTCTGGCGCTAAAACAGTAAAAGTATTTTTTTTTTAATTTGAGGATGTAAAAAAAAAGTTGATTACTTATACTTACAGGACGATGAGGCCGACGAGGCGGAATTGGAGGTTTAGGTCGCTGTTTTCATGAAATAACGCGTGAATATTACAAACACAGTAAACCACAAATTTTCGGTAGACTATATGGATCATTTCACAAAAGTTGCAATTTTTTGAAGCGTAAAGAGAGATTTTCAAAATTTATTTTTTAGAATTTTTTAGTTATTTTTTTTCTACATTGCGTAAGGTCCAAACTTCTATTGTCATTTTTCGAAGCCCCATGTCAATTTTGGCAATGAAATTTTGTTTGGCACATCCACTTATTAGGCGCAACAGTACATATTTAAAAAAAACGAAAAAGTCAATACATAAGTGGCATAAGCTACTAAAAATTGAATTATCAAACGCTTCGTGTTGCGGTAGTGACATTTGGGACCATTTTTTTACATTCAATAACGGCCACGCAAAAAATTATTCGACTCAATTTCGACAAAGTACTAAAGTTATATTGGCTTACACTTAAAAAAAAAAAAAAAAAAAGTTCCGATTCAAAATAATTTGTAATCTCACGTGAGCTTCATGGAATATCGCGATTTTTGTGAACTGACCCATGTAATGTTCAAATGATACATACCGTTGCAGTGGGCTTGGCATCAGTTTCAGCCGGTTTGGGTCGATGACGACCAGCTTCTGCCAACACGATCCACACGATAAAAACAGCAAGAAGCACCGCTGCACATCGCATCGCGTTCAAGTGACAAATAAAAAAACTCCCAAAAAATGTACCCTAACGTTTAAACGAAAGGACGCGTTCTGACGAAAAATCAAAGTATAAGGCACGCGACTGCGAGTATCTTGCGAGGAACTATCCAACTCTTCCGTTCTCCCGATTCATTTTATACACCGTACTTGATTAGCTAAAAAATCCTAACTAGCCATCAGTTATCAATTAATATTAATACACGTTGCAGTGAAGTACGTTGTTTATTTCAATCCACGCGCCCATTATCAGGTATATGTAATACTTTGTGCAATTTACGTTTAAGCAGTTTTAATTGGCGAAAGGTGAAAGCGTCGAGTTTCTAGCAAGTTTTACCATATTTTCTCCAATTATTTGTCATTTGTTGGTTCATCGGTACGCATTTACATTGTGTTCCGTTGTAATATAATTTTAACTTCTTTATACATTAATTAAATACGTACATATTTGTGCTCTTCGCAAAAGATTATTACATAGAGGTGAGAAATAAACGTAGACAGCAAATACCGGATAGTTAGAAAAATAATTCGTATAATTCACTAAATGTATATTATTCGTATGCGTGTATTATAATAACAACAACAATAATGTATATGGGTAAAGTAGGTGGTGTACGTGTATATACGTATATTATGGAACTGGATTGTTCAAGGCGGCGAGCTCGGCGTTGAGCTTGTCCTCGACGCACTTGTCGACGGCGGCATCGTTAACGGCGATCACCTTGTCGGCCATGCACGCCTTGGTAACGAAGACCACGTGCTTCAGGTCCTTGAGTTTGTTTTTGTCGTCGTCCTTGTTTTTGCTCCAATCGATCACCTCCATGGTCTGCTTGTAATTGAGGGGGTTGTTGTACAAGTTGAGCCGGCGCAGGCTGACCGGCAATTTTTTCACAAAGTCAACCGGCAAAGTGACGATCTCGTTGCCCCGCAGGTCGAGGTTGATCAGGCCCGGGACCAATTTCAAAAAGTCCGGCTCCAAACTCTGGATACGGTTGTTCGCGAGATTCAGCTCGAGGAGCTTGGGCGTGTCCTTGAACCAGGCGGCCTTCAGGACCGTCAGCTCGTTTCGCGGCAGAATCAGGCCCTTCAGCTCCTTCAGACCTGCAACGAAAGGTGCGTGTCCCTTTGCGCGAAAACAATCAACTCATACAAAAAAGTGGAGGAAAAACAAACACTCACCGGTAAAGGCCGTGTCCTCGATCTCTGCGAGCTTGCTACCGTAGATCTCGATCTTGACGAGCTTCTCGGCGAACTTGGCGAACGCGCCGGCCTTGAGCTTCTCGACCTTGGACATGGAGAACCACACCTGGGTTATCTGGCTCGGCGCCTTCTCGAGATCGGCCTGGAGATCGGTCGACTGGACGCAGACCTGCAACGCAAAATACATATACATGATCAATGACACGCTGTTCATCCATGGGTAATGTATTGTTGGGATGTGGTGAGGAAAATTAACCCAGATGGAGTAGTTGGCCGGCTGTTGCAGCTGCTCGGCGTTGTCCTGGGTGCGAGGGGGATTTTTGCGGTAACAGAAGCCTTGGGCCGGGCCCAGGCAGCTGCACGCGAGCACGACGACGACGGCCAGGTACTTCATCGTGTTTGTCATCGCTGCTCCCCCAGGGAACGACTGAGCTCGCGGCCCGCCGGTCTGGTCCTTTTTATAAAACGACTCGCGCCCTACATACATACGTACATACATGCCTTGTTCACCATCAACGAGAGATCCTGGGGTGCATCAATTGCCTACCTACGTTTTCCATTGAGCTTCAAATTAAATCCAAAGGGGGAGGCCGAACAACGCGTGCGTGCGCGCGCGCGTGTGTATATTATGTACAATCAGGCTATACCTATTTCCTACATTTATTATAATCGCTCGGTTAAGGTCGTATACGTTGCTGGTGCGTCAAAAGGGCTATTGTCGAGAATTCGATTCGACGAGCGAAACAAGAGTGCGAGATAGAATATGTAAGCTTCTTTTGTACTCGATTTTGTATTATTGAGCGCCGTTTGACATGATTTTCTTGCCCCACTGCCTATATATATATATATAGGTATACTCATTTGTCATCACGTTGCAAATGTACCGATTTTCTCCACTTGCGCGCTATTGTATACGTAATGGTGTATATGTATAAAGCGGGCAATTCGACAGGCGTTAATTTACTTGTTTTGTTTCATGATCATCGTCGAGATTATCGAACCACGTGATGGTAATTTGTTTTTACACCGCTACTGGACGGCTGTTTGTAATTCTTTTTTTTTCCCCCTTGAAATCACAGTTTTGTCAACGATAAAATTAACGTAGATAGTATTATATGTGTGGATGATCTTGGATTCAAGGTATAACTTTTGGCCATAACACCACAAGAGAGGAAGGAATAGGTTTACGAGTAAAATTACGTATAGGCAATGATTTTAAAAATAATTTCAACGTACAGTTTATTGATAACAGCGTAATAACAGCTCGCCTACATGAAGATATACATATATACGTGGTTTTTTATGTCAAAGAGAATCTCGGGTTGTGGATAAAGTTTGGTTTATCCCTTTGATAAGATATACAATATTACAGGGGTTTGGTGGGTTCGGGTTTTACTTCGCCCTCCAGCAATTTCGGGGACTCGATAGCCTTGGCAAGTTTGGCCTTGACGCAGTTGTCCAGCTCCTTGGCGTCGTCCTTCTTGGCCATGGTGGCTTGGCACTCGAGGACGAGCTTGTAGGTGTCGCGCATGCCGTCGATCGACGCGTACGAGTTCTTGACGACGCTCGGGTGCTGGTTCGAGTACTCGATTACCTTGACGCCCTGGGCCCACTCGTAGGGGTTCGACTGGAGCCCGACCTTCTTGAGCTTCGGCCACTTGGCCTTCATCGCCTCGACGTCGAAGTGGCTCACTTGGTTCTCGGAGATCTCGAACTCCTGGATCTGCGGCGTCAGCTCGAAGATCGCCGGGTCGAACTCGCGGATCTCGTTGCCGCTTAGGTCCAGGCTCTCTGGAGTTATCATTAAAAAAAAAACAAATTCGTTACTTTAACCACCACAACAACGACAATAAGGAAAAAAAAAGAGGTAAAACCAGGTGGTCTGTACCTAGTTTAGCCAGATCCTTGAACCATTCCTTCTTGACCTTGGTCAGGCGGTTTCTGTGCAAAGTAAAAAACAAAATAAAATTGCCAAGTTTTCACGGGAAAAACGATTTATTGGCGGGTCATGAAAAAAATAATCCGAGACCTGCGTAAAATGAGCGCCTTGAGCTCGGTGAGGCCGCGGAAGGCTTCCTCGTCGATGTCGGCGAGACCGCAGTGCACAATGCTGATGCCGAGCACCTTTGTCTTCAGCTTTTGGAGGCTGTCTTTTTCGATTTTAGGGACCTTGCTCTCGCGAAACGAGACGTTCACGAGTTTGGTGGTGTTGAGGGGCAGTCGGTCGAGGTCCTTTTGGAAATCCTGGCTGCGCTGGCAGGTGTAGGCGTCGAGCTCGTTCGGAGTGGTCACGCCGCGCTCCAGGTAGCAGCCGGCCTCGGCCGGACTCGTTAGGCACGACAACGCAATCGCCATCAGTCCGGCAAGTGCCAATCCTAATAGATATATATGTATATATATTTTTTTTTAACGTAGGTATACTTTTGTTTCGTTTCTGCATGTATATGACAAAAGTGGGTGAGTCTCACCTGATGGACACACAGCCGGTGCTCGGGGAGCCATGGTTGACGCCGTGTGTGCGCTGATCGGGCTCGGTGTCTCTACTGGCTGTTTTGGTCGCTGACGAGCGTATGAGCTTGCCATCAATTTATAGGTCGAACCAGTTGACAAGAGGATCACCTACGTGCACGGCTGGCTATTATGCGATGCCATTGGGGAGCCGATGATCATGTACATACACATACGTTGTACGTGTAGGTAGTTAAACTCATTACAGCCGTGGCACGAAAAATTTCCACGTAACCAGTTGGTATTGTGAATGGTCAATATTTTAATTAAACCCATTTTAACTCGTTTAACTATATGTTAATGACGCAAATGGTGTGTTTAAAAAAAATGGATAGTCTTCATCATTTGATTTGACGGTTTAGTATCGTCTCGTAATCATTTCATGTGGATGATCGGTAATTAGACTCCCCAATTTCATAGGAAATTTATTAATTATTGCTTGACACGTTTCTCTTGGGTTACAGTTGAACTATCAGCTGTCAACTACTACATTTCGAATTGTAATAGAAACAAGTATGAAATTTCGATGGAGTTACGGGTATAGAAAACCGTGGATGTCATAAGGGGATACAGGGCCTTTGTAGAAACTCATTCATTAAATGGAAATTGGATTGATTTTGGTTTGGAGCTGAGATTTGTGGCGATACACGTTTTATTTTTTTTTTTCCAACACATCGTAAAAAACCTCAAAAAAAGTACGGATGAGCAAATACCTGAAAATTAACTGCAAAAAGCAAAAGAACCCTGTACTTACGTTATATTCAGCGTATTTCTCGATAAGTAGACTTCCCTTCGCAAAGACATCGCTATAGCGAGGATTTCTAGTAGAATTAGCAGGACTTCCTGATTTTTGTCTGAGAATGCCTTTGTCAGTTTGTTATTCTTCTTACCACTGCCAATTAATTTGGAGTGCTCTTCTATTAATTAATTGAGGTAATGTAACATTAATAAAAAAATGCAATAACACTAACTTTACAATTATTATTTATTTCATGTCAATTGACATCAACCTTTCAGTAAAATGTAAATTCCTTTTAAAATCCAACATTTTTACTTAATTTATGGGGGTGCATTTGTTATTCTTTTGAAAAGAGGTCAATGCTAAATAAAAATGAAGAGAGAAAATGTTTGGTAATGCGTTTATTGATGGTCTAAAAAAAAGTTTAAAACTTACATACAATAAGTAAAATTCAAAGTTTCACAAATTCAATGTACTAATAAGTTATTCACCACTAAATTAGTTAAGAGATTCGTATTTGTTTATTCTGAAGATTTTTTTCGTTAATTATCGGATAAAAGACATTACCACAGTTTAAAATATTGTGTGTGCTGCATTTGTATGGCCAATCATTTGAACAATAGTAATACTGCAGGTCTAATATTTAGGGCGAAGTACAACATCGGCACCATAGGACTAGCAAACGCAAGAAAACGTGTCTTATAATTGCCCACACACCGAATGTTTGAACTGATGATCTTATTTTATACATTTTTTAATTATCATTTAATACATCTATCCACAGGATTTGTTTAAATTCCTACACCAGAAGTTCTGATGATTCATTCCGCGGTTCTGAAAAGAAAAAAAAGAACGATTAGTCAATTAGTCAGTTAACCTGTAAGTGAAAACACATCATTAGGCTATAACGTTACTTGAACTTCATCTTTCAATTATTCGAAATCGCGTGATGCTGAGTTTTTTTCTTGATTATTCCATTTCAAATTCATTAATCAGTACAGGGAGACAACCAATTTGCGACGACACTACTCTACCGGCGTATCGAGACAAAAAATAATCGGATGTGTTAGTAATCTTAGGACATGCATCGCGTACTACGAAATTTCAATTTTCAAAATCAAAAAAAGTTATCCGTCATTCCGCTTCTTCGTTCTCACTCGTTCAAAGCCTATAAGCTGTGTTCCTTTTTCTACGTACATGAGGCGCAGGGTGTTTGTAAAGCCGGAGCCCGTCTTCCAGCCGGTAACAACCACAACGTTGTCGCCTGTCTTTATGAAGCCTTGGCTTTTGCCAAACTCCGTGCCAAACGTGACGCGGTTCTCAACGTCCTGCAGCCAGTTTTCAACCACGGGCTCTGTATAGGCAAAAATAGTTATATGAATGAGATATTACTAAACAGCAACGCGAAAAATAACAACAATATCGCTTACTCGAGTAATACAGAGGCAAGATTCCCCTGAAGAGATGAGACTGCCGAGCGACCTGGTCGTACCTCGTGATAGCAATGATCGGGCAGGGTGGTCGATACTTCGAGATCTTGTGAGCAGACGCACCAGACGTCGTGAGCACGATGATGCAAGAGGCACTTCCCTTGATAGCAGCTTCGGTCGCAGCGATTGCCAGAGCCTCGGTGCTCTGTACAGGGGGCACGGCCTTGCTCGTCAGGTCATTAAAGAGCTGCTTGTGCCAGATCGCAGCTTCAGCCTCCTTGCAGATGTTGGCCATTGTACGCACGCACTCGAGCGGGTACTCGCCCTTGGCAGTTTCACCTAAAAAAAAAAAAAATTAGATTGAATGATTATTATCAATTAATCATCATAATCAGCAGTAGCATAGATGTGTTGTTATCCATACCGGAAAGCATGACGCAGTCGGCTCCATCAAGAATGGCATTGGCAACGTCCGAGGACTCGGCTCTGGTGGGTCGTGGCTTCTTCACCATGGACTCGAGCATCTGAGTGGCGCAGATGACAGGCTTGCCCATTTTGTTGCAACGACTGATCATGCACTTTTGGGCGAGGAAGACCTTCTCGGGCGGGATCTCGATACCAAGGTCACCTCGTGCTACCATTATACCGTCCGAGGCAGCGATGATTTCATTCAAATTGGTCATACCCTGCTGGTTCTCGATCTTTGAGATGATTTTGATATTTTTGCCCTCGGATCCAAGGATACCGCGGATCTCGGTCAGCGCCTCGGCGTTGCGGATGAAAGAGGCAAATATCATGTCCACATTTTGCGCGACGCCGAACATGAGATCTTTCTTATCCTTCTCGGAGACGGCTGGCAAATCTACCGGGACTCCCGGCAGGTTGACACCCTTCCGCGATCCCAGTGAACCGCCGTTCTCAACTTCCGTTGTGATCAAGTTGGCATCTGAAGATAAAACAGTGCAGTGGAGTTATACACGAAGAGGACGACAAAATAGGGACCAACGAAAAGTACAAAAGCGTACCGATTTTTGTGACTTTAAGCGAAATCAAGCCGTCGTCGACGTAAATGGTGTTCCCGACCTCCAGGACCTTCGACATGTTGACATAGTCGATGTAGACGATATCCGCGTTGCCCTTTTCCTCAAGAGCCTTGTCGGTGGACAGCTTAAAAGTCTGGCCCTTTTTCAGTTCGATCTCGGCAGAACCACCCTAAGGAAAGAGAAAAACGTGAAGCCCGTAAGTCTCGTAATTACACAGCACGATTCAGTGTATCAAATTACCCCTTCAAGGAGACCAGTACGGATTTCGGGGCCCTTGGTGTCGAGAGCTATGGCCACGGGCACGTAAATCCCGCGCTTCTCCGAGATGTTCTTCTGGGCCTGTCTGACATTTTCGATCGTCTTGGTGTGGTACTCGTAGCTGCCGTGGCTAAAGTTCAACCTCGCGACGTTCATGCCGGTCTCGATCATCTTCTCGAGCACATCGACCGGATTGGAGGCCGGTCCAATCGTGCAGATGATGCCCGACAGGCGGATCAGAGACTTGTGCTTTTCGATGTCAAGGGCGCACAGATGGTCCAGGTGGCTTGGGGCCGTCATAGCTGCTACGTTCGGCTCACCGGCTACTTTCTATACGTGAAATTTCAAAAGAACATCGTCAAGATCGATATACAGCCCAGTAGTGGGTGCGGACATGTAAGTGTGTGTTGGTGAGGAAAAGACAGAGTTGTTGATGAGAGTTTATGAACAATTATCCTTTGATGCGTAGAAAGTTTAATGACCCTTTTTTTTCTTCCACACGGTGAGCTGATTATTTTTTTTTGTGCGCTTCGACGATATATATAATCATCATCGCACTAAAATGGGAACAGCCACCGGAGACAATTTTTCATGCTATTCGTTGCGTACTTCGAATTTGTCAGATCGTAAGAGTTTGAATATCTTTCACGAATCACACTTGGTAATTGGTTCAAGTCATTAACTTTCCATAGAGCAAAATTGCAGTAGAAAAAAGAAGAAAAAAAAAAAAAAAAAAAAAAGTATAGCCTTGCACTCTTGTTTGTCAAGATATACATATTCATAAAAAGACTACGCGTCATTATACTACTTCGTATTGCAAAACGACTTGATTGTCGCACGTGATATCTATACGTCGTTGATAACGCAAGCGGTGACTATTCGTTGAAGATTGTCACTAGAAGAAAAAGAAAAGAAAATGCACCAACAGCGTGCCAAGTTGTGCGAAATCGATAACAAAAATTAGAAGACTATATAAAAAATCGTAATGCTTCAGATACTAATATCTACGAAAGCATGCACTGCCCAAAAGTAAGCGATAAAGCTGTTCAATCAATTCATTCACCATCCAAATATATAATATACTTTGCTATACAATCAGTTAAGTAAGTATAACTACATACATATAAACACGTAAGTTTTTAGTGAATGCATGAATTTGGGATTCACGAGATCCGAAAGATCGTATGTGGTTTTTTTTACGTAGAAATTAAAAAAAAAAAAAATAATAATTTCTCGCGAAGAACGCGGGGCAAGAGTCGCTTCAAAAATAGTCGGAGGTCCAAGATGTACAACACATAAGTACAGCGGAACAGCTGAGCTGCGAGAGGTTTCACCGGCTATTTTTGAAGCTAACACCGGTTGTTGTACTTAGACTAGATCACTACCGTGCAAAATTTCGTCCCGGAGATGCGCGAGTAAATAAACAATTATTGATTTCGAGAAGGGCACGTAATTTTACTCGGAATACTATATAAGGAGGACACTCGTGTACGAAAAAAAGGAAAAAAAAAATATTTAACGTAATTTTTTTTTGCTTCTACTTACTACATAGTTAGGCAAAATGGAACTATATTATGGTTATTATCATTTTTATAAATTACTACACGGATAAGTAATGGGTATTTATTACAAAATTTGTGTGACCTATACGCACATTATCAAGAGTACGCTCAATACTTTTCATTAAAGCGGCACAGTCCGCGTACATTACCTCACACAGAATCTGTCTCAAGCCGCAGTGCGCTAAACTTCAGCGCCTTGAAACGCCGCCTTTATGTAACATCGAGTGTTAAATATTTTTTTTTTTTTTTTTTTTTTTTTTTTTTGTTAAAAACAAATGAGTCACATAAAATACTTGATGTATCCATGACAACACATGGTGTTAATAATGATGATAGATTGTTAATCGATGAATGAAAAACTTGTACAGGTGCACAGAAACTGAGAAACAAGTAATTACATAACGATATATACATGGTCCAATAGAAAAAAAAAAAAGACGAAACAAAAGGGCACAAGTTACAAATAAACAAATATAGTGTAAAAGAACTCTATAGCATAATATTATTGACAACAATAAGTGAAAATCAATAAACAATCACGAGCGAAACAAAAAATGAAAGAAGGGAGGAAAAGGAAAAAAAAGAAAATAAAAGAAGAAAAGAATGGGTTGCGTGGATTGTAACAACACATCAGTCAAAACAAACAGGGAGTACGAGCAGGTCGAGGACGCAGTTCTCGTTGGGAAAAAGCCTCGTGGGATCGTCGTCGACGGGATGATTTTTATTTCTCAAGTGTACCTCGTTCTCTTCGGTCGACCAGGTCATTTTGGCGGGCTGCGTAAAGAAAGGGCAAATACGTGTGATTAGTGAGTGCCGAGGTAACGCGGCCGCCGCCGGCTGCACGCCGCCGCAGAGTCGTCGCAGCAGCCGGCGCCCGGACGGTAATAACGCGGTCGACGTCGTGCAGGTGCAGGTCTTCAACTGAGCCAGCCGGCGTCGACGGGACGATGCCGAGGGCCAGAGCGGGGACGCATGATTTTATTTTTGCGGACCGAAATTCGATTTGCGGCGCACGCGGACCGTTTGGGTTTGCTCTGACGCACGCGGGCGGATTTTTCCTCCCTCCTCCTCCTCCTCCTCCTCCTTTGTCTTCGAACTCAGAAAATGGTCAGTTTGACAAAACTTGTCTAGAACGAAGGAAATAAATAAATAAACTAATTAAAGCAAAAGTTACTCTTTACTTTACCGGGTAAACATAACTTGAAGTTTAAGGGGAGGAAAAGGTGCGCTAACGATTTGAAGAGTCTTTTGTCTCAACGGAGTATCATTTATTTAAATATTTGTAGTACTAACCGAACCAGTGGCCAGGCAAATTAATATTTTAGAAAAACGTTGAAAGTCCTCCTCTAAAAAGCTTTTTTACCGTGCCGAGAACCGCTGGACATATATTTCGATATATTATTTGGATACAGTCACGTGATTTTAGCTTCAAAGGATTGGATCGCGTTGGGTACTTTTCTCACTTGTTTTTATTGTGAATGGAAAAAAAAATAAGTTCGAGAGCTTGGATTTTTCAGATAAACGCGTTGAATTCTCAGTTGATGAGATTTTTGTTTCACTTGCAATTAGGAGACTCAATCATTTTAAAGATACACTTGGTTTTTAAGACCGTTAAAAGAGATCATGAGACTCCTCTGGCCCTCGACAACGTCTGATAACTAGGGATTATAAAAATTTTAATTAGAGAATTTCCCAATGGATATTTTTGTCAGTTGATTGTTGTCATCAAATGATAGAAAAATTATCCTTTCATGGAAAATTCTCTGAATTAAAATTTTTACTTAATAAAATAAAAAATGAAAACACTTCCTTTGTATATTCTTTGTGCGCTGAAAAACTGTTTGTTCCTTTTTGATATTTTCGCAATTTTTTTGTTATACAATATTTGTACTTTATTTATAATATATTGCAATTAAAATATCTGGAATGATTTGGCATTTGTCGATTTTTGGCTATAACCGAAACTGCACCGATCGCGAAACATAATCGAAAGTAATTACCTTTAATTTTTTCACCAGTCAAATTTATGTATTTTAAAAGCTCTAAGAAAATTCCTATAATATTTATCTTTTCAAATAAACTTGAAAAATGTGTTAAATATTGCTACGGTTTCTCAAACTCTGTAGTGTTCTGATAACCAAACCCTTCTTTGGAATTAATACTTATTTACATATCGTTAATTACTTGCTGAAATAATATCTACAATTTTTAGTATTTTAATGTAAATGCATTCCTGATCAAACGATATAATTATTAAGCCAGATGCAGTGCATGATTATCAATTATGAATGTTATTTGAAGTCATATAGAAATGTAATGGCAAATTCTTTTCATCCACCAATCAACTACGAAAGTTATGGTTTAGTAATTTTTAGAATGATCTCTACTGAAGAATGAAAGCGTTATATTTTTTTGTTAAAAAATTAGCAGGTGATAGATCTGAATTCATCACTAATACGCTAAAACCATTGCAATAAAATTCACTTATATACACATATTATGATGCGATTAAAAACGAAATTGCAATCTTGTGCATTTTGTTTACAGTTTATCATTAATCTAATCAGATCGATGTGGTCACTATCCCGCAATACAATAGATACCATATACGTAATAAGCTTATCAATGATTCTTTTCAAAATCCACTGCGAGAACCATGCATAATTCTGTAAGATCAAGTTGATCGAACAAGTAGTAATTTAGTAGTACGAGGTGAAATTTCATTCGATTACCTCTTAAAGTAAGTTGAAAAGCATGTAAATTAAAAATGGAAATTATTTGTTATTTTTTAATGAAAAATAGCGCTTTAATAATGGAAAAGGCGGTATGATTTTAGATACTTAGATCCTCAAAGCAAATGTGTACAGGTAACAGTTTAACGCCGGTACCTGCTACGAAAAAACGCGACTAAAGTATAACCGGTGGAAACTCGACTTCAAAAAAAAGAAAAAAAAAAAAAAAAAAAACGGATAAGCACAGAGAAGGCGAGCATGCGCTTACACGTGTTGGCCTACTGGCTGTTCACGTGTCCTCATCGGTTTCGAAACTCCGAAAGTCTGCTTCTTGTGCAGCGTCAGCTGTGCAATGAACATATAGGTATAGTACTGGCATGAGGCCTCTATTTCCTTCTTCCATATTATCAGAGAATATATATATGGATTGTATCTCTTTACCTTTGTACATAAGGAGATATACTTTATATTCCCTGATATCGCCGAGTTTATTTACTTTTTAATGACACTTTAGAGTGATAAAAGCTGATACGTTATCACCAGACTTCTTTTTTTATACCTAACTGAGTCACCAAAATACAGAGTGCCATCGTATCTTATTTCACAGGGAACTATTTATAACGAGTAAGTACTTATGGATGCCTCGCCCTTAGCACTCTATTGAATTTGCACATTTTTCATGCTCTTAGAGGCTCGACATAACCTCGTGCAAAATAGCTCTTTTGCCTTCTCTAAAACTTTTTTTATCGATTCAGTAGGAACACGACGAAATGAATTTCTTTTTCCTGTAGATGATGCGCTTTGACATTTCTTGATGCCTCGTTGTCAAAAAGTGATTTAGTAGGAATTTCGCTCAGCTTGTGCACATGCCATGTTATTGTTGTCATGACCTTTAACCGAATGATTCTCACGTGGTTATAAAAAATAACTGAAACGTTTTCATCAGACTGTACATTTGCAATTAAAACATCAAGTTTTTCAAGTATTCACCGGTTTAAGCAATTCCTGAAAATCGTACAAGTATGTCGTAATTTATTTTTCATTTGTGCAATGCATAAGTAGGTACACAAAAGTACACCTTGAATTAATTTAACAATGAAAACCAAGGCTAGACAGTTTGACGCTTGACCAACAATAAATAGAAATGTGAGGTCCATTGGTAGATTCATCGATTTTGCCGAGTTACACAATGATATTATAATGGCCGACACACTTTTACGGCATCACTTAAATGTAACACCAGAGTAGGTACATCACGAAATTTATTTTTTAAGAATTTTCTTCTTAGTTCTTAGGGTGTCAAAACAATCCAAAATGTTAACGTAGCAAATGCACAAGCTCTAACGAAAATTGGGACAACTGACAATTTACACACGTGTCAGAAAACGTACGGTTAAATTATATTTTAGTAAAATACAGAAATGATCGTTAAAAGAGACCGGACACTGTTTTCAAGGTTACAGACAATTTAGGGTTGTTAGAAACAATAACGAATAAAGTGTCAATAAGTATGCGCACCCGTAAGTATATAAGCGTGAAAGAACAACCCCCAGAATTCATCGCGAAAATCGTACGAACACGCGACATTATTTTTCCAACATGATTGGCACCCCGATGACGATTCGTCGCGCACAATTATTAACGAAATTCAAGGCCGTCACTCGGTTATCGTTAAACTTACGTGTACCCTTTGGCAACTAGGTTACACCTAGATACTTTCAAATACCATCACGAATTATTGGTTTTCTATTTTTTACCTGGTTTATAAATCAAAGTAAACAGCAACGTCTGGAGGAACTGGAAATTGCTTGGCAACCGACGAACAACTCTTGACGGATGCGCAGCCTGTAGCAGACTGACGTTTGAGGACGCGGAAGGTCACGGCGCTAAGATTCAAAGCCGTCTTCTGTTTTACTTCTGTATCCCCCCCGCCACCCTACCCGCCGCAACGACGGAACTCTTTTCGTCTCTCTCATCGGGTTTTGAATAATTTTTCCAACCTTTGGAATATTACTTGCACTTTTCAATTAAATTTAGCTATCGCGCATAGTTTAACCATCAATTTTTTATAATAATTTCACGCGTAGAACTTTGAAATAAAAAATATACCGATTAGGCAGCTCCACCGAGGATCTGTCGCGCCACCTGGGATGATAATCAATAGCTGTGGGAAATTTCGGCCAATCGCTGAATCTTCATAAAAGAAGCAACGTTTCTATTGGTGATTAGAACTGAGCGCGTGAATACAGTTTGTTTAACTCTCTGGCGATTCTCTTATGTCTATTTAACGTAATACAGCAAATTGTATATAATAAGTCATGTAAATTTTCAAGTTTTATTTCGTATTTGTCTAGTTCGTATAGTAAGGCTGTACTGTTAATGCTAGAGTGATACAATAAAAAAGCATAGCATCTCACTGGAATGAAAACAATTTTATTTATAATAAAAAGTAATCGTCATGTACGGAGCTGGTATATTCAATAATATCCACCAATACCCCGTGCACATGGCAAATAAACTATTCTCTTTACTCATAAGGTCGAATCCAATGCTTTTTTGCAATTTACTGGCAAAGTCAGTTCATTGAGTTCATCATTCTGGGATTAAGTAGTGGCGCCACGTAAAACATATTTATAGTCCCTGTAAGAGCCCAGAATGTAGAAAAGTAGAGAGTAGTTTTATCTCCATATTTTATAAATTGTTCTCTAAAAAAACCATTTGATTTCAATGGCTGAAAAAAAAGAGTAACGTAAACAAACTATTTTAATACGCATCAAAATACAAAAGTTTTTCGTTATTGTTAGTGGGAGGTCCAAGAGTTCCCTACCTACCTGCACATCATCAAAATCTGAAGTCGTCTCTCGCAACTTTGGTGGAAAACTACGTCGATAAATGCCCATATTCCATCCAAGACGACGAAAATCCTGTGATTTGCTGAAATATTTTTAGCCGAATTCTTCTTCGGTTTGTTCTTTAATATTTTTGCCGGCCGAGTGGAAACAACGTCTTTGATGACCCTTTGTTTCAATTAGTCCCTGATTTTTCTCCTGCTATTTAAAATACCTATACGTAAAATGAAAAAAAAAAAAAAAAAAACACATCAAACAAAAATACCTTCGTCGATGCTACCATGTGGGTGATCGATAAATTTTTCCACAATCTTTTGTTGCACGAATCCAGTTTCATGTAAGATTTGCAGTTCCTCAGTGTACATACATTTCCAGCGTTGAATACCGTTGCTCTTTGCACTTTGTGGAAACTAAAAGTATAGCGGTCCAAACATATCAGTGGTGTTTCTTTTTCACTGGCGATAACATCCATTTTCGTGGAGAGTAACAAAATAAAAGTCAACAACCGCACAATGTAAACACACTTGCAACTACGGACATTACATATTTGAGTGGACATTAATATGCATATATACGGTATCTGGTATTTCGCGAGAGCCAATTCGATCGGGCCCCTCAAATAAGACTTGGGAGCCAACTCGACCGGACATCATGTTAATGACCCTCAGATGACTCGGACCACATACAAATAGAAAAGTAAACTTTCTCCTCTCGGGAGCCAACTCGATACCAGCCAACAACCATCACGCGATATTATTTAATCAAAAGTGGCGTGACTCATTTTTCGTTCATTCAAATTATCATCATCATTATTTGACCCTGGCACAAGAGAGATTAGTACGGCGGCTATCATCACCTATACGATGTATGCATATAATGTAAAGCAATCAAAGACCAAGGTAGTAAAAAGTAATCAAATTTTTGGTACAAAAGTGTATTTGCAAGTACATGGACGGTTATTTGCCAATTTAATATGACCCACAAATAACATCATTTTTTGATAAGTCAGACAAGTGGAGATTACATTCGCTCCAAATTTTTAATTGATATTATTTTTAATGTGTGCGAGACGATAAAATCATGTTCTTTTATATTCAGCGTCGATTCAATACCATCAGCTACTAATTGTTTGATCAAATAAATTTACTGCGGTGTGCTAACGATAAAACAGTTGCTCGCAAAATTACTCAAGTCTTCACGAAAATCGTTATTAAATAAAAAAAAAAAAAAAAAAAATCGTACGTGATTAAAAGTATGCTATCCAGTCATGTAACTTGGTAAAATAATTGGTGCGCTTGCTTTACTTAATCCTTACAAATTATAAATTGTGTTTTTACAGTATTGAATATATTATATTCTGAAGTTTATAAGAAATAAATTTCTATGCTCATTAATTTTTCTTTTAATGAAAATCGTACCACAGCGGTGTTTTCGTCGCAAACTTATCCAATTTATGTACTTTGTATCATACACGATTTCATTATTGTATAGCACAAATGAAATAAAAATGTATTTAAATTATTTATCATCAAGCTGTACGCAAAACTCATCGATTCTATATGATACACCGCGACTACACAGGTATATCGGTATCACAAGTATCAAAATGACAAGTAATCGTCAATCGTACAAGTGCACCTGTGTATGTGCGAGGTAGGTATATAATAATGATACATTCATATATTATTTATTTCACACGTCCCCGTCAGCAACGGGTTCTCAACTTGTGGACAGCCGGTCAAGCCGGTTTTAAACTAGATTGCACTCGTCCATGGCTCGCCTCATTGCATCTGACTCGCTAAATCGAATCTCACAAAGTTATATTGTACCGTATGTATGTACATACGTATATTCCACAGTGAATTGCTGCAATTGAGAAACCAAGTGAGACCAGCACATTTTCTTCGCGGGGGATCTCGAAAACGTCCGATGAGCGATAATAAACTGCAAAACCGGCAAAAGATATATCTGATGATCGGTAATGGCAGTACGAAACACGCAGATCTGCACGTCTATAGAAAAAAAAAAAAAAAAAAAAAAAAAAAAAAAAAAAAAAAAAAAAAAAAAAAAAAAAANAAAAAAAAAAAAAAAAAAAAAAAAAAAAAAAAAAAAAAAAAAAAAAAAAAAAAAAGAAAAAAAAAAAAAAAAAAAAAAAAAAAAAAAAAAAAAATAGCGACGCGTGTTTCATTACGATATACTTACTTTTGCAATTTATTACATTACTGTTGGTCAGCAACGATTAATTAAACGAGATCTAGAACTGTGGGAGTCTGACGTCGCGTTGAGGAGGAGGAGGAGGAGGAGGAAGATGAAAAAATACACAGAAAGAAAGCAGAAAGAGAGAGAGAGAGGGACCGGCCCGACTGTTGCCGATAAGAGATAGAAGGCGTGTAATGTATACGCGCAGAGAGCGAGGCCGAGCGAAGGAGGGGTAGGGCGGCCACATCTTTCTCTGGCCGGCGCCGTTGTCCGAGAGGCAGAGGCTTTCGACCGCCGCACGCGAGAGACGAAGCGTCCAGACTTGGAAACACGCGGTTCACGAAATGGGCGAGCGAGCGATTAACTTTGGCGCCGGACCGGGAAAACTTCCCCTCGAGGTAAGAGATAACGGCACACACGTTTTTTTTCCTCCTCTCGTTTTCGCTTTTCATCACGTGCGCCGGCTATCTTTCTTATTCCTCGACTCTCGAGTTTTCGTGTACAACTAGTTTTTCGAGGTAGGTCAATTTTATTTCAACATCAAATTGATTAAGTTAATTAAAACAACGTGCGCGTCTCGAAAAATTATTTTTACCAGTCATTGAAAGGATAAAACCGTTTATTATACGTGTGAGATTGATGGATCGGACGATACGCAAATCAAACGTACTCTATGTCGAAATTTGATTATGAAATAATTACGTAATTGAGTCACGTTTATTGATGTCTTATCACGAGATGTTGTCACGCCCATGCTACTCTCGACAAAATAAGTATATAATATTTACATACATATATGTATACATCGACGCTGATTGATAACTTTGTGTTTGAAGGTGTTGAAGCAAGTTCAGGATGAATTGTTAACTTACGGGAATACTGGAGTTAGTATATTGGAAATCAGTCATCGGTCTGCCGATTTTAAAAAAGTGATCGAAGATGCGCAGGCACGACTCACGGAAATTCTGTAAGAATCGGTTGAATTGTATAAATGAATTTTTTTTCTTCTAATTTATAATAGAGTCAATATTGAATTTTCAGCCACATACCGGACAACTACAAAGTCATGTTCCTGCAAGGTGGTGGAAGTGGACTATTTGCGGCAGTGCCGCTCAACATGATGAAAACAGGATCCGCCGATTACATAGTTACCGGTCAGTTCGCGATCGTCAAGCCATTTTTTCCGTTCATTGACGCCACGTTTTTCATACATCCACAGGTTCCTGGTCGTCAAAGGCGGCGAAAGAAGCTGCAAAGTATGGAAAAGTTAATCTGGTGCTACCGAAAACCAGTAAATACACCGAAATCCCTGAAAAATCGGCCTGGAATCTCGATCCGAATGCTTCATACGTATACTACTGCGATAACGAAACGATTCATGGTCAGTTTGTTTCCATAGTCATGCGAGTGAGAAATTTATTGCATTACTAAAAAATTGGGAATAATTGTAGGAATTGAGTTCCACGATGTTCCCGATACCCATGGCGTTCCTTTGGTAGCGGACATGTCATCGAATTTCATCTCAAAGCCAGTTGACGTTTCCAAGGTAAAGTATATAATGACACTTGACGAGAAATATCATAGAAAATTTCATCTCTAACTGTGATTTTTCCGTACAGTTTGCTTGTATATTTGCCGGAGCGCAAAAAAACGTTGGACCGTCCGGAGTCACGATCGCGATCGTCAGGAAAGACTTTATCGGCACGGCGATGCCGATATGCCCCTCAATTTTCGACTTTAGCGTGGTGGCCGAAGCCAACTCGATTTACAACACGCCACCAGTTTTCCAGTAAGTAAACCCTGCTGTATGACTAGGTTGACCGGTAACTCTATCGGTAACGAGTAAATTGACAAACTCGCGTTTTTAGAATCTACTTTGTTGGTCTCGTCTTCGACTGGATAATGAGGAACGGTGGAGTAGAAGGTATGCGAGATCTAGCCGCAAAAAAGAGCAAGCTGATCTACGACGCGATCGAGGAGTCGAACGGCTTCTACGTTTGCCCCATCCAAAAGGACTGCCGCAGCAGAATGAACGTTCCATTCAGAATAAAGAACAACGAAGAGCTGGAGAACAAATTTGTCACGGGAGCCAAGAAGGATCACAACATGTTGCAGTTGAAAGGCCACAGGTCGGTCGGTGGGATTCGAGCTTCGCTGTACAACGCAGTGACACTGGACGAAGTTGAAATTTTGGCCAAGTACATGAAGTCGTTTTATGAAGAAAATAAGTAACGTTACGAGGAAAGGATCATGGTTGCAAGGTTGAATGATTAATTGTTGAAAATGTTTGTTGTAAAGTTATAATATAAATTTTTTTTACACAACATTCTCTTTTACTCTATATATGTTACCCGTTTCATGTATGTACAAAATCACCTTATAATTTATTCCCTAAACCTTCTTTTATTTCCTTAATTTTCAAGTCATGGTTGTCGAACATGGCATCTAATAACTTTTCTAGTTTGGCATTAGTACCTTTCAGTCCATTAACAACAGATTTTGCCCACTGTAAATTTTTTTTTTAATCATTGCTATGATGTATAAACATAAGGTACAAGTATTATTTGATAATAAAAGAACAATGTGAAAAAAATCACCTCAAAGTACTGATCAACTCTGTCTAGGGACCATCCAACAGGTGTTTCTTTTTCCAAATCTCTTAAATTATACAGCTTATCAGCGAGTTTGACAAGCTTTGCTTTAAAACTGGAATCTGGAGCATGTACAATTTGCAATCTTTTCCTTTCTAACTTTGGCAAAGATTTGTCATCAGTGACTTCTTCAACAATCTTTCTCACTTTTTCACCAAAATGCTCCTCAATCTCCTCAAACGAGGTATCTGTATCTTCTACTGTATCATGAAGTAAAGCAGCTACTATGACATTAGGATCATACACGTTTCCTTCCTCAACTAATATATTTGCAACTCCTATAAACAGTATCATATTAAATCATTGAATTGTTCACATAACAGTAACTATGTCAATGTAGATATTTAAATTCAGACTATTAATTATCATATTTTATGAAATTCAGCATACCTATGGGATGATTGATGTACGGTGTCTGTTCTTTGTTGCATCTTCTCTGTTTACTATGTTTAATGGCAGCAAAATTGGCACATTTTACAATAAATGCAACAAGCTCATTTTGTGTCAACACTTGAGCAGATAATCCTATAACTGATTTTCTATTATTGAACTCATTACTTTTTTCTTCCATACTTAACTAAAACTTTTGCAATTCGAGACACTGTTAATATTTTATAAAATATTTATTAGACCAGAAAGATAATGAAAAAAAAATGAAATGATTACTCGTTGTTTTTGAAAAGTGCAACGTAACCTACTTGTAAGGCAGCGATCACAGTTTAGAGAATGAGTTTTGCGGTAAATATTTATACGACAACATGAATCAGGATATTGTTAATTAGATTACGTAACTCGTGCATGTAAATATCCACACACTATCAGTTCTAAGCGTATGATAATATACTTTTTATTTGTTTAAATTAATCTTGATTACTCAAAAGTCACGTTTAAAACATTCACAAACACTATGAAGATATGTATTTTGTACAAGGATAACCAAAGTTAATCATCAGAATTTGTTTATAACGAAGTATTCATAAACAATTTGTTACCGGCGCGTACCCATTTGTATTTTTGCCGCTCATTTGGACAACAACATCAACGCGACAGAAAAAGAGAGTTCAAATAACATAACCTTCAATAAGTGCAGACAGTTTTGGAAAGTTCTACTTTTCAGCTTTCGAACGAAATTTAGTGTAAACAATTATTAAAATAACAACAATGGCAGCAAAAAAGAAGTTAAGCAAGGAAGAGTTGAGGAAAGCGATGTTGGAGGCTAAGAAAAAGCACAGTTCTATAAAAAAAATAGAACACCCACTTGCCAGATATCCTTTTATATTAATTTTCAAATGAAATAAATTGCTTTGCCTTTTCTTCAATTTTCAAGCACAATTATTGAGTTTAATATTTTTTAAATAAGATTCCTTAACTTCTGCAACACATACAACGAGCTGGATCAGCTTGTGTGTATTTTATGCAAAATTCAGGTACGCAACGAAGCTGTGTGGCCAGTTCATTTAAACTCAAAGTCACACAAAGAAAACATCGAAATGGCTAAGAAGACAAAGTTAGAGGCTGCTCGACCTATGAAACCTCCACAACCTGTGGCATCAAATAAAAGGCCAGCCACGTCTCAATCACAGCATCAGGAACCTAAGAGAGTCAAGGGAATTTTAAAAAATTCTGGACAACCTCCACCAAATGTCAAAGCAAACTTGCCATCAGACTTTTTTGATAGTTCTTCGACTGTCAGTAGCGGTAGTGGTGGTGGTACAATTGTGCCAAAAGATGCTTTAGCAAATGGTGCATCTACAACAAATGGTCGCATGGAGGTTGATGGTTCAGAGGAAAAAACATCAGAAGTAAAAGATGCTAAGGAAGATAATCAGTCTGCCCTTCCAGAAGGTTTTTTTGATGATCCAATACAGGATGCTAAGGTAACTGTTGTGAAAGTTGTAGGATAAAAAATTTTTTGTAGTTTTATAATCATAAAAGTAATTACTTTAAGGCTCGTAATGTTGAATACAAAAATCCTATTGAAGAGGAATGGGAGAGGTTTCAAAAAGAAATTAAAGAAGAGACAGCACAATCAGCACAGATTATCGGAGATGACCAGGAGGAGGCTGCTACAGAAAGGCAGCTTGATGTAATTGAAGAGCAACTGAGAAATTGGTCCAGAGTGATGGACTTGGTGAAACAAAAAGAACTTGTTAAGACAGCTGATAAGAAGCAAGATAACAGTGATTCTTCCAGCGATGGAGAAGATTACGATGAATTTTTAGATTGGAGGGCAAAGAAATCGTATCGTGGGTGATTTTTATATTTGTTTATTAATAGAGAATAAATTGATTATTAATGTAAATATTATTTTTCAACTGTTGTACATTACTCGCTTTGATAAAATGGTTTTTTTCAGTACTCAAAGTGATTGTGTTGTGAAACACTGGATTATTTAATAAAAATCACAATATCAACTGCAAATAGATTTAAATTACATTTAAAATGTAAATTACTTGGTAAAGCTGTATAAAATGCCCTAGTGTAGTTGTAATTATAAAAAAAAAAATAAAAGAATAAAAGTTTTGTATGACATGAGTAATTTTGTAAATAAATTTGATTGAGAATCATGCAACTGGATACAAGTATATAATTTTAATCACAGTACCTATCATTTATTTTTTTCAAAAGGTAACTGGTAATGAAAAAAACGAAAACACAAGTAGTGTATTACGATTTTATTAAAATGAATTTAAGGATTCCAAAGATATACATTACAATATAGATGTATGGATAAATAATTTATAATTCTTGTGTGTAAGCTATAAATATGAAACCGTACGATATAAAGACTAGTAAATATAAGAAATACTCTCTACGTCGCCGCTACATAGAGTTTTATTTATCTATTTTATTCATTAAAGTACCTTAGTTTTTATCATTTCTTCATTCTTCTTTACTACATTTATTACTTTTCCTTCATCTCTACTTTCCACTTGGTTGTCTTTTGAGAACGTGTGCACGTGAAATATATCGAAATGTTTTTCTGAAGCTCACTTAATCTATCACGATTAGTTTTTGATAGTAGAAATATATATATATATGATGGACGTAATTAGTAGACGAAACAAAATCAAAGAGTCGAAGATGTCGATCATAAATTTGTTTTTACATTGATTTATCTTATTTTATTTTATTTTTTTTGTTTGTATAGAAAAAGGATTTGCGCGATCTACTATTTTAGGTCTACAAGTACAAAGGTAAATACCGTGTTTATAGCAAAATCTCGCTAGACTGTAGTAGCATTATATTCAAAAATTGATCGAGTCTCTACGATATATGTATATATTTTCGATGTGTCAATCACTGGTCAAAGGTAGGATTTTTTCGTCCACTATTATATTATAGATAATACCCTAACGTGTTTTACATCATTTTTTCGTCTCATAGGTCCATTCAATCGACTTTGTTCTTACGATGAGGTAAATTTTCAATTTTCTGTTGAATGTTTTTTTATTTTATTTTTTTAAAATTATTTTTCAAAACAAACAATCGAACATTGGCAAAATTTCATTACACATAGAAGATAATCGATAAATTACAGTTTACATTGTCACAGAATTTTTATACTTGATCATCATGTACATTTCAGCTATGCATCTAATTAATGTTTAAATCTGACTTTCGTTGACTTCAACCTATACACGACTTATTGCAATTACTTTGATTCATATTGATCCTTTACACGTCGCTCGTTAATCCGCAATTAATTTTTTTTTTTTTTATTGGTAATGCAAGCAAACAGTGGTTGGTGTGATTTTTATCAAGCGATAAATTCAACGGAATATGAAGTATGAAGTACAAGGAAAGAAAAAATCCAAGAGATAGCGTAAATTTTCAAATTGACTTGCACGCAAATCTCGTGCACTTGTTTCATATAATACATGCCGAGTGCGCTTTGGATCACAGATTCGTTCGATCGCGTCGACGAGTTGCGCGACTTTTGTCGTAGTTCCTCTGAAAATTTATGCCTATTCAAAAATCATTCGTATCTTTTATTGAAGCACAAAATCGCAAAATTATTTAACAATCGCGCAAAAAAGTTTTGTCACCAAATTTACATTTTTTTTTTTTTACAGATGTGCTTGATTGAATGAATTTTTATTTGAAATTTTTCCTTTTGTAAGTTTTTTTCTTAACCATAGATTACTTTTAACGCTTTTGTACTTGAAAAATGTCATCCAATACGCCTAGTCGTTTCAGCAAACATACGTTATTTACAGAGCCACCGGTTGCCTTCGCTTCGATTGGTGCCGATCGTCCAAGTACTTCCCCGGTTGATCTTGTATGCTTGTTTGGACGCTCGGCCCCGATTTTCCAACCGATTGCAACCGGTCGCCCGAAACTTTATTCGAACTTGTCAATCACCCATTTGCAACCAATAATTCTTTACAACGAAAAATTTCGCGAATCCCTGAAAAAATTTGTATTTCATTTTTCATTTGATTAACATTCCTTCGGATAAATGTTGATTGAGTAATGTGATTTCGTGGACACGACAAAAAAAAAAAAAAAAAAGGATTGTGGTTACAATGAAAAAATGGATTTTTATTCGCAAAGCTACGCAGAAGATTGCTCGCATGTTTGTATTTATCTATACACGTGTAAGTACAATTTTGTATTTTGGCTCAAAGAGAACTGTTTGGAGGCACTCTGCTCAAAAGCAAAGGTAAAGATCCTTAAGTGTCTAAATTTTATATACTTTAATTGCGTTTATTTTACTTCGTTACAAGAAAATCGCATTCTTCTCGAAAAAAGACAATAGTTCCTATGTTAATCATCGAAGTGTAGATAAATGTATATAGTATATAATGTATATTTTCGTAAAATGCCAAGTTAACTGTACAAATGCACTTTACGTATATGTAAAGAGTCGCGATAAATATTTGCTTACGCGTGTATACGTTTAATCATTTGCACTTTCTCGTCCTATGTAACACACCCTTGGCATTTCGAAGCAAAAGCCCCCGTAATCATATGCGACTGTCCCACCCCGAAATGGAAACCTTCCCCTAATTTCCTTTCGAGATCGGATCGGCTGCACGTGTACACGCATTCTCGTGCGCGATAGTACCGTTTCCACATGATACATCATCCGCTACTTTTACACTGTATACTTCCAATATCAAACGTATACTATTCATTAAAAGAGTTGTCAAGTGGTGCTGTAATACTTGCCCATCGAATTTTAATAACTCGTTTCTTACGTAACGAAAGAAATTATGCTTCTTCGAGCTTAACTTCAATTTTATATGTATTTATATATATATTTATTATATTTTTTTTCCTACTTTAAAAACGTAGATAATAGATAAAGGTAATATCATTACACTTTGCTTTGGTTTGAGGCCGACTTGTATATATTATATGTATAACTATTACATTGTTATCTTCAATATATATGTATGTATATCTATTCAGCGAGATTTCAAGTTAAGCAACAAGGATAAAAAATATCCCTCATCATCGCGCGATGCGTATATAATATTATATCTTTAAACTTAAACATAACTTTTGTTTCCCGTGCTTGATTTGGGTTTTCATGAATGACTTATTTCTTTCCTCTCGTCAAGATTTTCAATGGAGTTACGTTTATGCATAATAACAACCTACACGTTACATATCCTATATATTGCGACGATCGCGCTCGCGCGATCTATTTTCCTTAAACAGCGTATGTAATCACAGAGTAGCGCAACGACCACTATAGGCGTGTCTCATCACTATAGTTTCCATTTAAAATTCGATACAATTAATATAATGAGTGTGTATATATATTGCACAATTCGTAATCGTGATACAAAGAAAAATAATAATAATAATAATAAT